AAAAATATAAAGGGTTTGGTGAAAGCAATCTGAGCCCAAGTCGACTGTTAGTGTATAGATGTGTGTTTTGTTCAGCTCAATCACCTGGGATAAGGCAAAGAACATATCTCAGCAGCCATAGTGTGAAACTGAGGATGTCCTGCATGTACTGTGCCATGGCAGGAAGGCTTGTAGAAATACTGGGGGTTAAAGAGCTGCTCACACCCCCTCCAAGGACTGCACAAAGTCGAGTGAGTCATACCCAATACAGACTCATTTGAAATGACTCCTCATGGGTGGTTCTTCGTGTAAATTGCCCCAAAATGCCCAGGGAATCAATCTTGCGGCAAATCAGTTGGAGTGTCACGTGGCAGAGCCAGGGCTGCCCTGGCACTGGGTTCCATGGATGCTCAGGCAGCAGGGAGACAACTGCTCCCGAAACAGCTTCTAGTTATCATATCAGTGGCTGCCAGAGGCCATAAGAAGGGCCTCCTCTACACAAAGGACATAGCACCACATAATTAAAGGTGTGGGTATTAAGAGGGCTGAAGTGTAGACCTATGGGAGCACTCTTGCCATTAGAATAAAAGTGAGGTTATTTGGGTTTAAACACAGATCAATATAGAAAAATCTTTAAACTGAAATAAGCATTTCCACAGGTATTCAAGTTGATTTAGATAAATCAATTTGCAATAACAGGTTAAATTTAAGCTGGTGCAACTTCCTCACGTAGATAATCCCTTACAGATACACACTGAAATGATGAATGGATATGAAGCTGAAATACATTTGTAGGCCAGCATCAGATAAATATTCTTGCTGTTGCTGATGCAATTAAGATGAAGGTTTTAATGCCTAGATTTTTAAATCTGGGGCATTTTACAGGGGTCAGAAGAAGCAACTGGGGGAAGAGTAGACTGGTCAAGTTCAGAGCATTGTACTTTCTGGTGGAAGAGCTGGGGCCGGCTACGAACAACTACATTTGACACCTTCTTAATCACAGCAGCCAAACCTATTACTGGATCACACCCTCAGGATTGTCTGCAGTATAGGAGTGGATAAATGATAGGCCTAATATCAGTGATCTAAAAGTGTTGGCAAGAAAGCTTAGGCAAGCCTTTCAGTGTCTGTTGGCTGCTCTTGGCTGCCCAAGCACCATGGGGACAGAGGTGACCCTCCCCTCGCAGAGCAGCCTGAGGGGACCTGCATCTTCTCAGCCACTGATGACATTTTTAGAGCTTTAACTCCTCTCCACTGTGGGTACAGTGAAAAACCAGGACATGGAGGACAGAGGCACAGCTGCATCTACCAGCTTTGAGAAGGAAGTGGTTGTTTCCAGCAGCTGGGTGGCCAGGGCCAGCAGTGCCTACAAGCATTTTAAAACTCATCACCAAGTGTCTGGTCACACTGGAGGACTTGGCAGGCAGCTGAGAAGGAACTGGGAAGTGATTTGACTTGGAAGGGTCTTAAAAGATGATCTAGTTCAAGCCTCCTGTCATAGGCAGACACCTTCCACTAGACTAAGTTGTTGAAAACCTGATCCAATCTGGCCTTGAGCACTCAGGGATGGGGAATCCACAACTTCTTGGGCCAACGTTTTCCAGTTCCTTACTACCTCAAAGTGAATAATTTCTTGCTAATATCTAATTTAAATATACCCACTTTCAGTTTAAGACCATTAACCCTTGTCTTGTCACTACAGGCCTTGATAAATTGTCTTTCTCTGCCTTACTTATCATCCTCCTTTAGGTACTGGAAGGTGCTATAAAGTCTCCCCTGAGTCTTCTCTTCTTCAGGCTGAACAGCCCCAGCTGTCGTCATAGGAGAGGTGCTCCAGCCCTCTGACCATCTTCATGGCCCTCGTCTGGATTTGCTCCAGCAGATCCATGTCTTGTTTGTGTCAGGGACCCTAGAGCTGGACACAGAACTCCAGGTGGGATCTCACCAGAGCAGGGTGGAGGGGCAGAATCCCCTCCTGCTACGTGCTGGTCACACTGCATTTGCTGCAGCCCAGGATACCATTTGCTTTCTGAGATGGAAGCTCACATTCCTGGGTCATGACCAGTTTTCAGCCAGAACCTTTTCCTTGGGGACTTAAAAAAAAAAATTGGGTGAATTTTTATCCATGATAAAAACTGATTGGGAAAATCAGTTTTTCATAACAGAAATATTAGTAATCTTTAGTCAAATACAGGAAATAGGTTTTGATGAGATTTAAAAATTAAAAGTAGAGACAAAATGTGAAAGCTCTCAATTTCAAAACAAGTGCATTTGAAAATCAGAGACATTAAGAAAAAAAGTAAAACTTTCTTTGTTTTCTTAGATTGGTCAGAACAACCGATCAGCTTGACAATTCCAGAAACAGAAATTTATTTCTTTTTAAATAGCTGCTAAAACAAAAAAGGGAAAACCCCCAAAAACTAAAACCCAATGCCCAGGTAATGACTTTGTCTTTTTTAAATATTTTTCTCTCTTTATCTTTTTTTTTCTTTTTTCCTTTTTTTTTTTTATTTTTTTTTTATTTTTCACTTTTATTTCTCTGTTTTTAAATGTGCAGTGAATAGATTCCCCAGGTAGTGTCAATTTAGAAAATCTGAGAGGAGAAATTACTTGATCTGTAGAACATGTAGTTCTATAGAATAAGTGCTGAGACAAAAAAGCAATACTTACTACCCTTACAAACTGGCATCATATACATCATAGTGAAATTGTAACTGTTAAATCTCTCATTTCTTGGGAGGACATGCTGAAAATGGAGAATATGCTTAGATACTGTCCACCCTACATGCAATTGGACAGCAAAACATAAAAGGAAGCCAGAAAACAGAGGATGAGAGAGGATGTAACATCCAGCTTCTCTGCCAGTGAACTCAAGGGCCAACTCTCTACCTTTGGGGGAAGATGTACTTATCAACAGCAATCCCACCAGAGTGACTTCTAACATGTGGAAGACCCAGTCAGAACCTGACTGCCCAAGTCTCTAGGACACACTGATAGCTGCTGATATAAATCAGTTTGTTTCCAACCTCTGCAAAAGTTTTCCTGAAATAAAGTAACTTCTACTGAGACACTAGAGGCTTCTGCCACTTTTGGTTGATGCCCGAATTCAGAAAGAAGAAAAGGCTAATGTCAGCAGCTCTTCAGGTTGATGGGTAGTGTTTGTGGTTTTCTTTTTCCTTTTCTCTATGTACTAAAGACATTTCTTGTGTTTCCAGTAAGACACCCTTGTATGAAACACACTTTTGCAGGTGTTCAGGTAATTCACCCAAATTTCCCAGGGCAGATATGCAAGTCAGGTAAAAGTATGAAACCAGTAAGGGTACTGGAATAAGGAACTGAGACAGGAACCTGTGGAAAGGGGATAAAGTGCCACTACCCATACACTTAGCTCACTGATGGGTTAATAACTTCATGCTTAGAGGTTCTTCATTGAGAACAATGGGCAACAGTTGCTAATGGGGTCTGACACCAGTGCCCTTGGGATGAAGAGGAAGGTTAATTGAATTCTAGTGAGGCTCCCTTTGTGTTTCAGAGCAATTGAACAAACCGGGGCAGCCAACTTCCAAGCATCAGCCTATGCATTGTGGAAAGTTCATCTGCGGTGTGACTAAATTGCCTTCAATAGCAGGAATGAATTCAGCCTCTCAAAGCCAGATTCAGGGAGAGTGAGCTAATCCTATTGGAAATTCTGATTGACAACTCAGGCCAGTGTTTGTTTTTGGTTGTAGAAGTATTGCAGAAGGAATGGGCATTTTGGATAGGAGGCTGCTTGCTGGTCCACCAAATTTCCTCTTACAACAGTGCAAACTCTTCTACTTCAGTTATTCATGAATACTCTAATCTGCATGGGCATGTTGTGAATAAAAGAAGAGTACAAAATAGATGATTCTCACAAAGTTATTCACTTGCTCTTGCCATTTAATCTTCTTTGGCTTCTCAGAAGCTGATGCTGATCTTTGAATCAGACAATACTGAATGTAATGTTATTTTGAAGACGTTTAAGCCTGATTGCTCCACATTAGTTAAAACAAAGATGGTATTTTCAGGTTGTAAATGCATACTTTATGTTTTCAGTTCGTAATTCAGTTGGATGTCTTCCAAAAGCAGATGGTTTCAGGCTATTAGTTTCTTCATTAAAAAAGTGATTGTCTGAAATCTGACCTGACTCTGGGATGATATTGGCATACATCTTTGCTGTGTGTTCTCAGACTTCCCACAAGCAGGTTTCTATTTCAGCACTGACAATAAGCACTACACTTTTTGTCCAACACAGCCATGAACACTTTTACAACTTGCTTCCTATGAAACAGATATTTCTTAGTGGATGAAAAGAAGCCTAAACAACTTCTTTTTTTCATTTGTATAGGGTGACTCTGCAGGTAGTAATATTTCCCGGGAAATTTTTTGTTTACCTTTGCTTAGGATCTATTCCTAAGGCTTTTCTCTAAAGCTGTCTGGACTCTCTGACTTCCTGACACACTGTTTCCTCTTTGTGTCTCTCCATTGTTGGTGCAATCTTTTTGAAATCCACTCATTCTTCAACTCTCTTCTCTGCTTTTCACCTTCGTGTGCAAATGTGCATTGCTTTCTCTGCTGCAGAGTAGGACCCTCTTTAGTTATGTTGGCAGTGCTGTGCCAGGCGTGCCTGTGTATGTTATTTTCATATCTTTGTAACTTCATTCCACTTCATATATCTGCAAAAGTAAAATGGTGTGTGCATGCACACACATACACACACACACGCACATCCAGGCTCTGAAGCAAAGAAATAATGGGTTAAATAAAAATAAAAACAAATAATGAACAGTCCTATTTAGTGCCATCTTTTGACTGAGACCCCTCGTGGCAGTACTGATGATGTCAGTTGCTGGAGTGAAAAGACCAAAGACCCTCAATTGCAAGAGGTTGAAAGCACCTCTACATAATTCTGTACAAACCACAGGGATTGTTACAATGCAGCATTATTGTGGATGAGCCACATACAGCCAATGCACTTACAATGAAAACCAGAGGGAGGAATATTGCTTAAAGCAACTCACTTTTATTGACAGTGTACTGTAAGGCAAGGAAAAAATGTTTGCCAGATTTTTTAAAAAGAAGGCTTGCAGCAAGAGTGATCTGCAGTTCAATGTATTATTGAACTGTCAAGGATATTCTCTTTTATAAATCCAATATTTATCTTTTTGTTATATATACAAAAGCTCAACTTAAACAAGCACAAAACAGAACAAAGTAATGGATTTGCATATGAAGTTTTGTTGATGATCCATGATCTACTAAACAAAAGAATGCACATATTCTTTTACTATAGAGTTACAGTTGACCAGATTTAAACTTAATTATACCCCAAAACACATAACTCCCCCCACAAAATACAGATGAATTCAATATGATTCTTTAAAAAAAAAAAATCTAAACAATGTTCAACCATACACTGGGAAAAAACATTGACAGATGCCAAGAAAGCTGTGTTTCAGAGTCGAAACTAATTTTTCATTTTTGGTGAAGGCATCTGTGTGTTTTCACTGTTGTATTCTGGCCACTTTAGATTAATATCTTGTCCAGCAAAAAATTGCAAAACACTGGCTTTTGTCTGCTTTTGAAAGGATATATTTTTAAAGTGGTGATGTAAATAAACCGTGAGCCTCTTACAAGATCTCACATCAGGCCATGTTAGAGCAAACTATCATTTCCATAGGAAACAACGGTAACAGAAAGGTCCCAGCTCTGCTATAAAACCTAGTCAGGGGCCAAGCAACAAAATCTGCAACCTCTTAGTTCTTCCCTGAGGGAAGGGCACAGTTTTGCCCCACATTTTTTGGCAGCCTTAGATTCTGAAACTAGCAAACACAGTTGTGTTTTGTGGCTCTCCTTCTCCATCCATATAGCATTTCACTGGAAAAGCTTTTATGAAAGCGATAGCTGCTTTTTCACTGGCGATAATGTAGTGCTATTGGTGGCTCGTAAAACAAGTGAAGGCTAACATGTCAAATATGATGTGCTGGCATAAAAGGGACGAAGGTAGTTAGTCACAGCACAGTGCCATGCCTTACCTTTGCAGGCCTGCAGCATGAGCAGTACCATGGGAAAGTAAAATTCTACCTATGCAGGCAAAACTGAAAGTATTTTTAAAGATGTACAATACTATTTTGTAATTAGAATCCCCAACATGCTAATTTTTATCACAGACAAGAAGAAAACCTTAGGAGTACACAAGAAAAATGGGACCCAATTAAAGGAAGAATAATGACACCACACATATATGTAACCAGTATATGCTGAAAATGAAGCATAAACCCATATTTGTCATGTGAAAGTCTTCTGCTGGATGCTTAAATGCACAGTTTTTAATGTACTTTTCCTCCCCCCACTCATTTTCTCTATGAAAATCAAGCTCTTTATGTAATTAACCAAACCTCAAAGATATTTACATTTTAAAAGCCAGTCCTTCACCTTCTAATTTTAAAATGAGTAATCCTGTATCTTGCATATTTAAAAAAAAAGGTCCAGTGAAAGCTTAGAATTGTAATTCAGTATCAGTACTTAGTAAAAATACTTCCCTTGAACATGAAGTCAGTGCTGACCTCTTCAGGTCATTTGTGAATAATAAAATTTTTCTAAAGAAATATTACTAAGTAAGGAATACCCAATGACAAGAAATACATTACCCCTGGATTGTGTAGTGTTGTCACTTTAAAGCATGGTAAAGGTTGAAGTCTATATCAAATTTTCACTATAGTTTTACAGAACACATGAAACCTTTCAATGATCTGTCTGCTACAGGCATTATAGTCTTCCTGGCTTTGTTAGTACTGCTATAGTATACAAGTTTCTTAGAGTACAGTTAATACCTATAGAAGTCAATTCTAACACAGAAGTGTGGGCTACACTTCATATGGCAGGAGGATAAGCGTAAGAGAAAATTATGACATTGATTTTAAAGAAATCATACATCACAGTATCTTTAATTCTAAATATAGAAAAACGGATTGTGGTATGACTTAAATGCTTCTCAAATATCAAGAAGGTCCTCTCCACTCTCATCACTCTCCACAGTTAATTGTCTTGTCCACCATTTCTTGACTTCTGATCCACAGGAAGCAGCATCAGACATGGGATTCATTTTGCATGCAACAGATTTCATAGTTGAACGTCCACCAAAACGGAGGTTGACTGAAGACACTGAATGGCTTATTGGTTTGGGGGCTAGAAAAATAAACAGAAAGTTCAGACAGTTCTGTATTAGAGTAGATCTGCTTCTTGAACATTTTTGCTTAGAATTCAGGTCTAGAGAACTAGCTAGATTAGGGCACCTTTAAACTGATTTAGTTCAGAAAGGGTAGAGCTTTGTTCTAATTTGTTTGTTTGTTTTCACAGCTCCAGATGTTCACAGTGCACCCACTAATCTGCTGGCAGAGCAGTTTAACTGAGCAGTGCCTCATTTCCTTCTGCTGGGATAACTGATACAAAAGATCTCTTCTTATCCAGCTAATTGCAACCTAAATGATTTAGGTAGTACTTACATGAGCTAACCTGCTGGCAAAACAGTGGAAGTAGTAAATGTGAGGAAGGGGGGGTGGGAGTGGGGAGGTGCTTTTAGGATTGGCAGCTACATCTAGAAAGTAATACTTTACAATGGCCTAGGGGTTGAAACCAGTACAAGTTGCTGCTATGGCACTAAACCACACGTCCAAGTACATAAGCCCCACAACTGATCTTAATTATGCTATTCATGATCTTAAATACCAGTCTTTGCTGGACTGGAGGCAGACTACTTATGTCTCAGCTGTACTGTACACAGAAATGACCCTCTTTTTTGGGGCCATCCACTGAGGAATGTTCAAAACTGACACAGATCAGTGCTAAGAAAGGAAACTCTGGGCTATTAATTCTTTCAAGATTTCTCACTTGAAAAACCTATGCAGTTGACTACAGTAGTATGACTCCTCCTTAGCATGCTTCCTCTCACTCTTTCTCTCTTTTCCAACAAAATGTTGATCTTTACTGCTCAGTGATATTTAAATGGAAATCATGTATTGAAAGCTTTCTATTAAATTATCCAGTTTCTTGGACAAGTACACTGGCAACACAAATTGGGTCAATGGTAGTCAACAGAACAGCATTACTGTCTCTCCTGCTTCCACTTAGATATGATTAGGGTCTGAACAGTGGCAGCCTTTGAGCACTCTGATTCAGAACAGGACTGACTGATGTAAAAGGTCCTGAGCAAATGTATGAAAAAGTAAAAAATGTAACCACTTGCATGAGGCAATGCTTGAGCCCATCTTCCAAACTTTCTGAATTGTGAAAAAAAGATAAAACTGCTTTATTCCAACAGGCATGAGGACAGGAAAGCCCTGATGTGGGTGCAAGCAGCAGCCAGGAGGAAGAATTGTGAATCATTAAGCCTTTCTTGGCCTTGTTATTGCACAACAGCAATTTTGCATGTGGGGACTTTACCGATAAACCTTTCACTTACCTGATGGCAAGCGCCATTGTCCAAATTTCCGCTGAGGTTTCCCAGCATCTCCAGTGTCTTGTCTATAGCCACCTCTGTCAGAAAGTGTTGGGCTAAGGAGCTGCTGCTGGCTACTTGTCTGAACAAAGAAAAAAGAATCTCAGTCATAGCTAACCTAGGTAACCCTAGGAAGAGATACCTTTCTATTATTTTTTGAGCTTTATCAATGAATACCAACAAAACATAACATTGGTTAGAGCAGAATGCTTTCTGCTCTTTAATACCCCAGAAAACTACTACTAACAGACAAAAGCAAAAACATCCTGTGTGCTCTCAATGCTATCTGTCCTATTGAAGGGTATGAAATTATTCTCAGCCTACTACAGTCATTGTGGAAAGCAGCTCTTATGTTGTGCCTTCAATATTTCCTATCCTGGAAGAGTCCAGGACTGCTGCTCAGAGGTCCCAGCATGCCCAGTGCTCTCCCTCTCTGTGTAAGTACCACTTCAGAATGCCTGAACTGGAAAGCTGCACATCCCCAAGCCTGCACACAGCTCATACAAGAGATGAAAGCTGGGGCTGCCATAGCTGTACAGCTGAGTTTGCCCTTTATGGTGATAGCAAGACAGCTAAATATGTTGGGGAATTTCTGCCTTAGAGCATCTTGCCTTTACATATGATGGCAAAGACTGAAGTAAAACAAGGTATTATTTTAAATTTTTTTTTTCAGTTAAAATTATGTTTAAAATAGAACAAATAAGAAACATGGAAATTTTCTGAATTTGTTATGAGTAGCTGATGTTTTTCTGGATAACATACCTCTGGCTGTGCACTGTTATCTTGATTAAGAGCATTCATATCTTCACTTGGCTGTGTTGTCTCAATGCTGGGAGGATTCAGAAATCGGCTCAACTCCTGCTGTTGGCTCTCTCGTAGGCTATGGATAATGCTGCACGACTGCTGCTGTTTCTATCAAGGTACAGTATGTGATGAAAAAAATGTTCTCATTGCTCTGTCACACCAATGTGTTTGATTTTTTTTAAAGCATTCCAAATATTTTAACTCAACAGTGAGCACCAGCTGTGGATTCCAGGTGCATTGATAAAGATCCAGGTATTAGATGTTGCTATTTAAATAAAGTGAATTCCAGCATATTTCTAACCTTTAGGGAATAGAGGATGAAATTCATGAACTACATTAAGTGGAAGGCATGTTGCTCAATTGTTAGTTTAAACCTAGAGTTTAAACACATACAAAGTTTTGAATTTATCAGTTAAAAGTTCTTGCAAAGAAAAAGAAACCAGGAAATTGGTAGAGATTCACAGGGAATTACATAGATTCATAGGAAATTACATGAAAGCAATGCAAAAATTATGATTTCTTTCATGAATTTTGGAGCAGGTTGTCAATAAAACTGAATAAAATAGTAGTGAAAACCTTGGGACTAAGTATAGATTTACAGTACAAATAGAAAAACAAACCTACTACCATTACAATTATACAATCTAATTTGCTTTTAAATTAAAATAAACAGCACTTAGGAAGGGTTTCACTTTCCTGGGTAGTTTTCACATGATCCCTCTAGGGATACTTAGAGTATAACAAGAGAATTTCAAAATATATCTTAACTTCCATAATTACATTCAGTTTATAAAAGGTTCATAGAATGCTAAATGATCTGAACCATATTATTAGAGTGAAATGAATAGCATATTTACTTTAACATAGTGTAGTTCAATATCATAATGAAATGAACAACAGAGTTGAAGAAGCCCAGAACCGAGAGCTGAGATTAAATTTACTGCCATTATTATCACAGAGATGAAATCAAAATGAAACTATCTATCATTGAACACTGATGTTTCAGCTGGAATGTACATGATATTCAAAATGTTCAGCTAAGTAGTTGTATAAATTTACAAACAGAAGACAGATGACATGACAGATCACTATGGAACATCTCCTATCACAAGAAATAAAAATAAAAATCCTTTATAAAAATAAAACCTGGGGTCAGACTCATAGTAACTGAAAAATTGGTCATCAATACAACCAGGTTGTGACTTGGTCCATAAACCTGCTTTCCATGTAGACACACTGCTCATGTGCACACACAATAACTGTAATGGCTCACTCAAATGATTTATTTTAATACAAGCTCCATCTGGAGAGTCATCTACAGGTTTCTCATCTGCCAGCAGAGGCAAGGAAATTATACAATTACATTATGTGAGGAAGGATTAGGCCTATGAAGTTACATTTAATTAAATTATTTTTTTCTTTATTCTTTTGACATTGGTCTCTGTATATGCACCTTTCTGTTGTATTGAAAAGACAGATAAAGTTTGGACAGGAAGACAGTTTTTGCCTTCAAAAGAGGCTTAATTTTGTAGCGCTGAAGAGCTGTAATAAATAGCTCTATTTTTGTAGGGCTGTAACAAACTTTTTTTTGCTCAGTTAGCAACTGCTACATACTTCAAATAAGTATTATCATGACTCCAAAGTAAATGAAGCATAGGAACACAGATTCCAGCATTGCTGAGCAGTTCAATTTATGCAACCATTTAGAACTGCTTTAGCTTGACTTACTGCTCTGATTCGCTTTAAGCACTTTTTCAGCCACATTCGTATGGTTTGTTTGGCCACCTCCTCTTCTATGGTATATTCCAGTTGCTCCCTGGCAAGCAGCTCTTCCAGTTGAAGACTTTTTCTGATATCAACAGACCTGTATGAAAGCATGCTGGAAAAAACACAATTTATTTATTTTTAAATTCTGGTGTCTTTGCATTTTGTAGAGAATCAAAGCTCATACTTAAGACCTTAGTGTGAAAATACATAATTCAGGTGTGCACAGTAAATTCACATTTGAAGCTGAAAAAATTGCCAAGATGATTCTAGAAGAGACTTACTGTGCTCAAAACAAAGACCTTATCACCTACATCCAGCTATCCAATACAGGTGAACTGCTGAACTGTAAGAAATTAGAGCATTTGTGGTGGTTTGGGTTTTCCCCCCCATGCTAAGTGTTAACACTTGGATAATGTTCCCATTTCTATTTTATTTATCGTCAGGCTCACTGTCATGTTGCTACACTTGAAGGTACATTTAATTAGTTGGGATACAAGAATGTGTGACTATAGTTTGTGACAAACCTCCTGCAATGAAAATGTTAAAACTGCTTAGAGCTGATTCCCTAGGACCTGCATTTGCCATCATTAATATTTTTGTAGGAAAAAAAGGGGAAACCTAATTTTTGTAAAACATTTAATATTACAGTGCCTCTGTGGCTACCAGTCTTGCCTTCTCCTGAGCCTAATGGCTACCTCATAGCCTGGAAAGAAACACTGGCTGTTACACCTGTTCTAAAAATGTGGAGAAAATCTCAGTGTACCTGAGCACGTCATGAAAAGTGACATCGCCACCATTGTGGAGCCGCTCCATTTCATAGCACATGTGCTTGAACAGCAGCTTGTCCTTGTCAAGATCCACCTCCAGCCTGCCTCGCAGAAGCCTCAGCAGGAATTTGACTCGGAAGGTAGGGATAACACCCTGTGTTAAATTGCATAATTGATGGTAAATTATTATTGTGATCTAACAACCAACTCAGACATTCAACTTGACCACTGAGAGAAAAACTACTTTTAGCATATTTGAGTCACTGTGAACACATTGCTGAAGAATGGGCACATTCAGCCAGTTCTCCAGTAAATTCACAGAAGTCTTTGTGATTATTTGACTCACATACAATGAGAATCTATGCCGTTAATTTTGGCAGAATTTTTCAAAATTGCTTGGGGATTTAGTTTCCCCTTTTGCATTCATCTGTAATTAGAATCATACTCCCCAAGAGCCACCTTTGTATAATGGAAATTAAACTGTAGTTTAAACACTCATAGCCATGTCTATAATTTGTTGTAAACCTGTGCCCTTCTGTGTGCATCTCTGAATGAGCAAGAGAATGTTGAGAGTTTACTGGCTTTTTATCTGCTCTAAGAGGCAGCACATCCTGCACTTTTGGTGACAACAACTTCTATCTGTTGTTACAAAATTAAGACTGGGTGTACTTTTCTCTGAAACTGTGGTATTCACAATCTTCAAATATCCACATCAGAGAGATTTTGTCAATGTTGGGCACCATGGATTCAGAACTTTTTTCCCTCATGAGTACAGACTGCAACTTCCCTCTCCAGCATTAGTCATGTGCCAACTACAGACAACCAACTACTTTCACCATAATGCTGTTTGCATTCAAATTTCAGTGATGTCATGAATCATTCAGATGATGATTTAATTTGTGTGGGCATCTGAGCAGCTCAGTCTCCCAGATGTCATTCTCATTTCAGAATCACAGAATGGCTGAGGTTGGAAGGAAACTCTGGACCTCACCTTGTCTCACCCCTCTGCTTAATCAGGGTCTCCCCAAGCCAGTTTCCCAGGATCAGGTCCAGATGGCTTTTGAATATCTCCAAGGATGGAGATTCCACAAACTTCCTGGGAAAACCTGTGCCCATGCTCAGTCATTATCACAGTGACAAACAGTTCTCTCATGTTGAGAGGTAACTCTTGTTTTTCAGGTTGTGCTCATTGCCTCCAGCCCTGTCACTGGGCAGCATTGAGCAGAGCCTGGCTCTGTCCTCTTTGCACCCTCCCTGCAGGTATTTATATACATGGATGGGATTCCCCTGAGCCTTCTTCAGGCTGAACAGTGCCAGTTTTCTCAGTCCTTCCTCTCAGGAGACTGCTCCAGTCTCTTCATCATTGTGTCCCTTTGCTGGACTCTCTCCAGTATCTCCATGTCTCTGTGTACAGAAGAGCCCAGAACCAAACCAGAATTCCAGCTGTGGCCTCACCAGTGCTGAGCAAAGCAAAAGGATCCTCTCTGCCTTGGCCTGCTGGCAATACCCTGTCTAATGCTGCCCAGGATACCACTAGCCCTCTTTTCTAAAAGGGCAATGGTGGCTCATGTTCAACTTGGGGCCCCCAGGTCTTTTACTGCCAAGTTACTTTCCAGCTGGATGGCCTCCGCACGTACTGTGCCTTGGCTTATTTTTCTCCAAGTATAAGACTTTGTAGTTCTCCTTGCTGAACTTCATGAGGCTTCTGTGAGCCCATTTCTCCAGCCTGTGAGGGTCCCTCTGGATGGCAGCATGACTCTGTGGCATATCTGCCACTCTGCCCAGCTTGGTGTCACCAGCAAATGTGCTGGGGGTGTCCTCTGCCACTCTGTCTGTGTCATTAATGAGGAAATTGAACAGGACTGGAGCCAGTATTGACCCCTGGGGCACACAGCGAGTTCCTGGCCTCCAACGAGAACCTGTCCTGCCGACCCTCACCCTCTGGGCCTGCCTATGCAGACAGTTTAGAGTTCACTTCATCTCACCCAGCCCATACTTGATTAGCCTCCCTCTAAGAATTTTGCAGTGCTGAAATCCCAGCAAAGATCTTCTGAAGATCTGGCACAAAAAATGGATATGAATTTGTAGAATTCCAAGGGAACAACTCTCAGGGAGCTGGGAGGAAAGATGCTATTATATTGATCCTATGAATAGGTATGTTTGTTTGCAAAACTGCTATTATAAGCACTTCACAGAATACAGGTTAATATCTGAAGGGCCATGAACAACATTAGATCATGCTCACATCTCAAAATTGAACAGTAACTGCTCAGAAAATTTTGTCACACTTTACCCCCCTCACATTACTTTTCAAGAAAAAAATGGAAGTTTACTGTATCTCTTATTACAAAGAAATTATTATTTCTTACCTCTCTTTTGTCATCAACCATGTTCCATATAATTTGAAAATGCCTTAGGTCATTGTAACTTAAAAGCTGATCTTCTTCAGTTGAGTAAAACAATGAGAAATTCTCCACAATGATAGCTGAAAACCACAAGAGGAAATACACCCTAAAGACAGCCTGTAGTTATATTGTAGCATCTAATTCTGTTGTGCAAACTCCACATTAACAAATGCCTGTATGCTAAGACAAGGATTTTGAATGCATATTATACCGTCTTGCCACACCAATATCAACATGCTTTTTAAAAATCGTACCTTAAATGCTGGTAAGATGCCTAATCTAACATCTAAGATCAATTAAGTTAATTCCAATGATATTCGAACAAAAGTTAACTGAAGAAATAAAAGCTTAGAAAACAGTGTTCTGGAGGGCAACTCTACTCTACAAATAGAAAATATCTCCTTGTTCCAAAAGCTTTCATTCCCAAACTTCCTGAGATTTAGCATTCCCATGCCAAAGAAGTATCAAAATCATTATATGCATGCAAGGTAACATTGAAGGTACAAGCTAGCCTCATACCTGAACAGCACAACAGACTCACACCTAACATACAACATGCCAAGATGGACCTTGCTGTTATTATTGTCTATTTTCACTTACCAACAAGCAAATTTAACATGATGTATGCAATGATGACATAGAAAGAGCAGAAATACATAAGGGCACCAGCATAATTTCCACAGTCTGTTTTCCAGTAGGTGCTGTTATCTGGTGTACAAAATGGAGGCTGAACCTTCAAAACAAAAGAAAACAAAGTATAATAATAATAATAATAATAATAATAATAATAATAATAATAATAATAATAATAATAATAATAATAATAATAAAGATTACTATTTCTTGAATGCTTCCCAATTAGGAAATGGTACTGTGGGTATTATTGTGGGCAGGTTGTTTTTCTTCCTTTAGTAGACAGAAGCCAGGAAAGAGAGAGAGGTATGACAAAAAAGGCTGAGGTATAGATCTTACTACCACACAGAGGGAACATTGTGCATTATGCCACTGTACAGGAATAAGCTGGTGCTTTGAAGCACAGTGATTTTCAAAACATTTCTTCCCTGCTCATTAATTTTAAAAAGCAAGGCATATGATCTTCCTTGCAATGTAAAGCACAGACAAACATTTACTTGGGCAAAATATAATGATTCTAAGAGGAATTTTGAGGTCATCAAGACTATCATTCACATGGAATAAGCCAAAGTGCAGGAATCAAAGACAAGGTAAATCTGAAAAGACACCCTGCCTCAGTAAGAGCAGAGATAATAGTGAAAAAGTGAGTTACTGCATTTCTGATTTTGAAATCATCTGTTTATTTTTGGTTTTACATCATGTAATGGCCTAGCTCCATGAAATACTGTGAGTATGAGACTGGAACTACAATTTGTGCATCATTCTGAGGTTTAGTGAACAGTATTTTCTTGAAGAGATAAAAGCAAGCTCAACATTCCTTGTACAAAGCTAAGATACTGAAAGCAGTTTGAGATGGAAGGGTATCTCTCATTTCTTGTCTACTTATCTCTAGCAGCATTGTAATTACCATGCAGTCGTGCATAATTTTGTTCCAGTCTTCTCCAGTAACTATTCTGAAGAGTACAGTAATAGCCTTGCCAGCTGATGAAAAATTTGCATGTCTGTTTTAAAGAGGGAGAGAGAAAGATTGAGAGTGAGAGATCATTTCACTTCCCAGAATTAAAACATTGGCAAGAAAAAAGATTTCCATTTTCTACTGTTCTTCTATTTTAAAGTAAAAAGGATTACAGTATTATTTGAATGAACCCATTGAATTATTTATTTAATGACTTAAGATACAATAACTGAACTCTAGCTCAGACAGACATCTAAGTATTTTAGCTCATTTTATCAGAGAACTAAAGAAAACTCAAGGCCAGATCCCATTTCCTGTCTCCATTTTCTTTTGTAAGCCTGACGATGACTGGGAAATCTCCTGCTAACAACCAATTCAAACGACTGCCTCTTTCTGTATCAGTCTGGTGGATGGATCCTGTTCCTGGGTGATGCCAGTAAGATACAGTAGGTATGCTGTGTTTCATCATCTTGTGGGCTAGCACAGTACTGCTTTGAAGCATATTTCAGCTGGCATAATGAAGAACAGCTCTCAGTCTGCTCTGGGTTGGATCAGGTGTCATTTAGTCCAATGCACAAGGACTGGAAAGATGGCTCAGTGTCTCCTACCAGAAATTCTGTTTACAGCTCTTCAGCCAGACCTGCAGATCTGTCTGTTTTTTACCACAGATAAACTTCTCTAGCAGAATGTGATTTCTTCAGGCTGTTTAAAGAACATCCCTGTGAGGTGGGAATTCCATACTGTACCTGTTAATGTTCTCTCCGTATTTCACTGTACCAAATAACACCACTCCAGCAAAAGCATAACAAAGAAGCAGTAAGAACATGCCCACTATGATGAAGAAACTCTTGTACATGCTGACAACCACAGTCAGGAGAAGCATTTTTAGTGTTACCTGGAAAGACAGAGAAAAACCAATCCATGACAGCATTCAGGAAAGCAATGATAAAACATAAACATGAGTTCTTGGACTTGCCATTTTGACAACAAATCCTTTAGCCACACTCATTAATGGATGAGCTCAGTAAAATGGTACATTATGAATGTGATTTGAACTGTGTGTGCTTTTTACCTATTAATGACATCAGCATATCTTCCTCATTTACAAGGAAATCAAGATCAAGATGTTGCTCCTCAAAAAGTATACTAGGATAGTTCAGTGTAGGATATTACAGTGATGGTACAGCATAAGCTTAACTATAATATTCTAGGATCAGTATTCTCCTGAAGTATCAGCTTTGGCACTGCATGAACAGTGGTGCAGTAAACTATTTTGGGCTTATCTGAAAGTGATCCTGTTAGACAGAAACCACAGATACTGCAGCCTACCAAAAGGAATACTTTCATGTATAGAGAAAAGGATTTCCTTAAGATCAGTACAGCTTCTCTAAGCTCAGTAATTTCTCATGGGAGTTTGTGACAGACCAGGGACACCTTCCAGAAGCCTTCCAGTACCTAAGTGGGGATGGTAAGAGAGGTGGAGAGGGATTTTTACAAGAGCATGTAGTGACAGAACAAGGGCAAGTGGCTTTAAGAAGCTGAAGGAGGTGAAGTTTAGATTTGGTATTGGGAAGAAATTCTTCATTGTGAGGGTGTTGAGGCACTGGAACAAGTTCCCTAAAGAAGTTGTGAACGCCCCATCCCTGGAAGTGCTCAAGGACAGGCTGAATGGGGTTTTGAGTAACTTGGTCTAGTAGCAGGTGTCTCTGCCCATGGCAGGGGGATTGGAATGAGATGATCTTTAGGGTCCCTTCCAACGCAAACCACTCTGTGAGTCTGTGATTCTGCAAAGTTGGCCAAAGAACACAAAATGAGAGCATAATTTTGAAAATGTCATAGGCTGTGGGCCTTGATAATAGATATTTCTTTTCCATGCAGGTATATTTTACATTTTATTATTGATAAATTTATTGCCCTAGATTGTCATAACACATAAAAATACTTTGGATATGATAAAAAATTCCCTTTAATGGGATTGAGGGTGTTATTTTTCTTTATAATCATGCCAAATTCCTGCTGACCTTTAGTCAGCATTTAGACTGTTGCATCAGGGTGGGTAAATTAGTGAAACTGATACAGCTGGTAACATAAAAGTACAAATGACTAGGTTAAAACATTGAAAAAAAACTTTAGAATCAATCAGAAAGCTTTGAAGGCAATGACTTGGTTTGGCTGCAAAGGAGAAGCAAGGATTTTTCATTTGACTTCCAAGGCTCAACAGGCTCTGTGTAGTGTAATCTTTTCTTTAAAAAGATTTAAAGAAAATTTTTATCTTTACTGAACAAACCCTTTGACTTACTGTTCTTAACCCTGGCAACCTAGTACAGCAGTTTTTTCATCACATTTACTTTAATATGTCAGACTTCACAGAAAATATTTGGATAGTATAAAGAAGTGTCACCACTTGTTAAATAAATGTGTTTGTTCTCTGCTTACTTATTCTGCCAGTCTATTCTCAATTACACCAGAGGAACTCCAAATACAAAAGAAATGTAAACTTGAGAAGTGACTTGCTTTGTCACCATCTCAGTGTTTGCAGAAGAACATCTTGGTCCAAAATTGTTTTTAAATTGAATATAAATCCTTTACTGTAACAAGATATACATTGTAGAGACAAAAGACACAGACCTGCACTCTGGAAAAAAGAAACTTTTTAAAGAGAGCACTGTCATAATAAGATGATGCATTTGGCCACCACTACAACAGTTTCACAGTGAAAATAATTAAAGAGCATGCCTCAATGAAATGGAAAGGGCTGAAAGTAGCACAGTGCATGTTCAGAGTTGCAGAGAGCATTTTTAAAAGCTGTGGTATAGCAGCTGCACCTTGTTTTCTGAAAAAAATTCCACTTTTCCAGTAACCATAGCCCTATTATACAATCTAAAATCCTGACATTTTAAATACAGCAAGTAAAGTTGCAGACTGCTGTTTGGATTTTTTTTTCTTTCTTTTTTTTTTTTTTTTGCCTAGGAAACACAGTATTACAGAATTTGCATGAGAGATGCACAGCATCTACTCCTTTAATCTATACATGAGCACTGCAGAAATTGTAGTTGCTAATTTATACTTACATGCTTCCCACAAATGGAGAAAAACCTGAAGACAATTACACATGCCCCCATCATGTATGTGTATGCATTCTGGAACACAAATACAAAAGACATAAAACATGGTCCCCCAGGAATCTCTTGAACAGATCATGATAATTGATTTTTTAGTAATGTAGGGCAGTCCCCATATTAAGTAAATCATAAACTATTTAGCAACAATATGAAGAACACAAACTCAACCTCCCCACACATCAAGCAAACACCCTTCAGTTCTCTATTAATTATGACCATTAGGCCCAGTGTACTTGTCCAGGAAGCTGCTGGATTACAGAAACTTAGTAGCAGGGAGAAACTGTGAATGTCAGGGCAAAATGACTAGTCACATGAAACAGGTTTTTCTTCAAACAGAACATGGGGCAGACATGAGAAAATCCTGCAGACATTATCAGGTTGTGACTTTGACAACTTGTGGCTGATAGCAAGTATCAACCATCCCTTCTCCTTCCCCTGTAAGTAAAGAAACCAGGAGTGTAGTTAAATTTAAAAAATTGGTGTGAAATGAAGGGAGAGATGATTTCCTCCCCTCTCTCCTTCATGTCTTCTTGAATTAAACACTGTCCCTTATCCAAAACCAGTGGTACAGGATCACTTTTGGGCTTGGGAGGGTTTGTACTGTTCAGCAGTTTTGAACCTATTCCTTCTTCCAGTTCTCTGGTCCTGTCTGTATTCTGTACCTTGCCTCTTCCTTCATGCTCATAAGACCTTTGTTAGCAAGAGCTCTCACTCTCCTCAGTCTTCTTTCCTTTCTCACTTACATTCCTCCTAAAGGTTTGTTTCCTACTACATTTACAGATTCTAGCTTGCATCAGTAAGACAATTTTGCACTACATGATTGTACAAGACAATCATTCTTCTTAGCATCAAGTTTAGTTTCTTTCAGATGTATTTCAGCCTTATTAAACTCTAAAGATTTATCTGGATATATAGCAGCAATCCTTCTGCTGGAGCCTCAAGATAAAATAATTTTAATCACTGGAATTGCATTTTGTATATCTTACCAGTAAGGCAAAATGAAGTATGACCCATATAACTCCAAGAGATGTCACCAAGAGGTCATACCGGTTTCTTCTGCTTTGCCAGAAGCCAGAAGGTGACATGGCAATAATCTTCATTGTGACCTATAGATAAAAGAATTTCTTACTTGTAATGAAGAAATGATTATTCATTGCCATGAGATCCTCTTCTGTTCCCCAAAATGTTTGATTTGGTCTGTTTTATGAAATAGTTTCAAAGAACAAGGGGTGGGTTTCACCTCAGCAAAATATTCCCATATGAATAGCTTCACTTAGGTGGAGGAAAATTGGTACACAGATGACCAAGACCAAAGGATGAACAGCATTCTGAATTGTCTCCCTGCCTTCATCAAGTATCAAAGACATGAGTGCAGCTAAGCACCTCAGACTGAATGCTAAATGTATAGATTGCTGAGGTGAATGCGGGGTTAAAATAGCTTGAAGTTAAACAAGTCATGTCAATAACATGTAGCCAAAAAGGTAGCAGTATCCTATCTAGCTAATTGTCTGTAAGCACACTAAAATCACATAAGCAGGTCTGAACTCAGGAATATAATTGTGTTCTGCAGCACCTAAATATCAAATGTATTAAAAAGCTTTCCTATATTACAAATATTTCTTACTTTAAGGAATACTCAGTACTTAGCAGCATGAAAGAGAAAAAATCTAAGAACAGTAATGGCAGTATATTTGACAGTATACCTGGTAAAAGACAGCTTCCAAAGTGCTTGACATTTCCAATTTAAGTAACAGGAATGCAGACGAGAAGCTCAAGAATAAATACTAATAGTTACAGAAATAGTCATATCAGGTAATGGATACCAAAGTAGAGTGATGCATATAGAGGGAACACCTACACAAGTTGCATTAAATCTCAGAGCAAGTTATGAGTTACTGTATAAAGGCTATAAATGTCAGGCATACATTATGTTATTTTTTCTATCTCACCTTGCAACCCTGCCATTTAACATGTCTGAAAACAAAACCAAATATAAGAGGACGCTAGCTTGAGGTAAAAGGCTGATTTTCCAGTAAGCTTTTTGCCTTATAATGTTTTCTGAAGCCTGACTACAAAGTGAACAATACAGTCTCTGAATCTCTAATTACCATTTGAGTTACTAAGGTATCCTGCCTTCAGTTACCTGAGATGCCCTAGAGAATTGAAGATGGATCGATGGGTCTGGGAATGATGACATAAGACGTGTAAACATCCCTGTCCTTCTGGAGTGGTTAGTGGAGGTGACTGAATCTCACCCTTCATCTCCCTCAATCACAGTAACAGCTTAAACACCTACCTCACATACAGAATTTAAACACCTAGCTTCAGGTGTCCATGATCCTGAACTGAATACCACACCATGGAAATAAAAAAATCACATCTCCCTTTACTCTGTCATCATCAGTGTGGTAACAAAAGTGAGATCTACAAATTCTTCCTATTTTCTATACCACATATATATGATGTGATCAGTAGAGGTTTAGGGCTGAATCAGGAGTTGTTAGATTAGACACAGGGCCATCAGCTATGCAGAAAGCAGACTCTGTGACCAGACCATGCTGCAGTAAGGGCCATCTTGAGCAGGAAGCTGCTTCCTCTCTCCATAAATTGTGTGCACTCACAGTGTGACAACTTGCCTGTTGAGACAGTCAACAAAATTTTTCCTGGCTCTGACGAAGTTCCTTTGAAATTCTACAAGTGTATTTGTTTCCTCTGGCAGTATAAGAGAAAAAGTATTTCCAAAGACATAGTTACTAGACAAATTAAAACCTGCCCGTGTATGACACAAATAAAACTTTTCTGTGTTTGCTCAGCCTCTCCAGACATACTGATTTCTCCTGGGTAGAGAAAAAAAGAAGCAACAACATGGACATACTCTAGCTACAGCTGCTACAAGGTATTCACTTCATTTTTTATTCATCACTACTGGCAAAACCTATCAATGGAACATAGGAACTGTCAGATTGGATTAGAGCAGCGGGAAATGTAATATACTATCCTGTTTCTGATAGTGGTCAGTATCAGCTATTCAGAGGGGACTGACAAGAAAAGTAGTCGACCAAAAACTTTAAAGAGTACCATGAGTACCATCCTAACCACAGAGGAAACATCTTTAATCTTAAAATGGAAATCCTTATACATTTAAAAAGTATGTGTTTTCCAAAATGTGTTCAAATCATTAGATTCCAGTCTCATGAAAACAGGCTAAATACATCTTGCAGAGTTTGTAAAAACAATATTCTCATAGATAGAGAACTGCTACCACACTGGAGCCAGACTTGTGCAGCAAAAGATAGACAATACTGGAGCTGGGGTGCAGCTTATAAAAAAGATATTAAAACGAAGTATAATATTTAAAACAAAACAAAGCTGAGAGAGGTTTGATTTTGTCACAGGTACAGAATAGCAGGAATTAACACACCAGGTAAAACATAAACGGATGAAGCAGAACTTCTGTGAGGCAACACAGACCTTTTGTTGTAGGAGGGAATGTAATACGACATGTTCTACAAGAAAAGAGTTCACTGTGTTCACCAAAGCACACTTAAATACTCATCCTTGAATATATATAAAAAGACATAAAGCTCAAGGTTGTAGAGAAGTATGACTATAACACATTAAAAGTTTCTTCTTACAATACATGTTTAAAGACAAGTGATATGGAGAACCCTGAATGTACACATTCAGAAATAAACACCCTAGCAAAGAACGAGAAACATCCCTAAAGACAAAATGAAATATATAGATACAAGTCTTAATCTCAAGAAGTCAAAAAATATATTACTTTACCTCAAGGACAAAAATGAAGGTGAAAACAACAGACATTGTTGCTAAAGGCACAGTTACTGGATCTGCAGCATCCCACTGAAAAGCAAGCATAATCCATTAATAGAAGAATAGCTGTTAAACAGAATAACTGCCTCTTCATTGCCTTAACTTTTCTTAAGGGTTTTGTCAATGACTGAATTTCCCTTTAAAATATACTCGGAAAGGAATGGCATTTTGGTGTACTCTTCTCTCTCAGATTTATACCTTAACTAGAAGTTATAGACAGTGGACCAGACTACAAAAAGGCAGAAACTGACTGAGCTTCACAAGTTACAATTAATCTACAGTGATCTATGCCAACTGATTGCTGTATCTAGAAATCACATTTCCTTGCATTCTTCACACTAATGACTCAACTGATCATTAATTGGTGTTAGGAAATGTGCAAACACATGCTGTACTACTGTAATGAAGTGCTTAAAAGACACACAATTACCTTAACTGATAACAACACAGACTGGGCCAGAACAAGTACAGCAATAGTCCTCTTAAAAAATGGATGCTGAGTTATATCATACATCTTTGCTCTAAAGCCATCGTTATCTGAAAAAGAAAGAGTTTGAGGAGGAGAGTTAAATACACAGCCATCCTCCTCTATTTCTTGACATATTTTCAATATTCATTAGAGGCAAAATAATCCTTTCCTATTTTCAAAATAAGTTTCTAATTTTCTGCCACAATTTTCCATATCAAATAGGGCTTCAGAACATATAGTTTCACATACTGAACACCAGTGTTGCATGAAAGCTTTAGTACTTTTAGGGCAAATGCATCATTCAACTGCTGTCAGGTTAATACATTCCATTCATATCATTACAGCCAACTGCAAATATTTTTCATTTAGAAAATAAATTTTTCATTAAGGCTTATCCTAAAACCATCGAAGCACAACCTTTTTAGGGTTGATTTTAATAGCCTTATGGAGAGATCTGTAGTTGGAGCCTGTTTCCCCATTAACTTATGCACAACCTCCTAGTGGCCTCACAATTACAGTTTTAATTTGAATTGCAGACTCCTGGGGAATTACGAACACTACAGCTCAACATGAATAAAATCAAAATATCTTTGATACCCGGACGAGGTGGGAGATGAAGAGGTTGTGCTATCTTCAGTCTGCTTTTCAGATCTTCCCATCGTCTCTGATCTACAGTCAGTAAAGCTGTCCCCTTAATAAACAAAGAGAAGCATATAAAGCTTTTGTCACTTAACAGCACTGCAACATGAAAACAATATTTTCTTTGGTGCCTGAATAAAGTTACATACACCACTTCCCTTAAATAACACACTGCTTGGGGAAAGGAGTCTGAAGTATCAGCTGTTACTCAAGAGGATTTCTGGGTGCATTAGCTGTGAGTTTCTGGGACTCAACTCAGCAGGCACAGTTGCTGCTCTTTGTAGCAGCAGCCCCGTGTGGGCAATGGAACACTGCAGGAGGTCTTCCATTTGACTGAACACCATTTGTCAGGAAGAAGAGTGGTGGATTTTGTCTGGACTTTGCAGTAGAAAATCCTGTGGCTTACTAGTGCCACTAGTTTCTTCAGGGAAAAAACCCTCCAGGAGACCACTGCTGGTCTCCACAGCTCTTCTGCTTGGACTGTAATTGAAATAAAATAATAGTATGCTATGAATCTACAAGAGCTCTCCACGGAGGAAGAACAAAGAGTGCATGGTGGTAGCTGGTAATGTGTATAAATGTTCACATAACATAGAAAACTTCAAACAGAAATGAATGTTATCTAAGATGACCTTCAAAACAAAATTAGTTCCTTATCATTTTAGAGAACTGTAAAATCTCACAGAAGGATTCTAGAGTTGCAAACACAAAGGAGACATTTTCAAGGTAAATGTCAAAATCCTGTCTCCCAGACACTTGGCTCCTCACTGAGCCACACTGAGCTGGGTGAGGGCTGGCATGATCTTCACCCTTACCTAGGCACTGGTCTGTGTAGATGCTGGAACTGTGGCTGGCTGTGCAACTGATAAGGTCAGGATTTCTCCCTCTTAGTGACCATGATCTCTTTATGGAGCTGTGTCCCTAGATGGTACCCTGGGAAGAGGTACCTTCCAACATAATGCGGACAAAGTGAAGATGTAAAGATGCTGACTACTCCTGTCAGGTCCAAACAGCACCATTCAGAAACACTTAGATTAAAAGGCAACACATTCACCCCAAGGAATGTGTCTGGTTTATATTCTTGGAGAGTCTTCACTGCAAACAAGACAAAAGGTCAGAAAAAGCTGGACTTTTGTAAAATCTAGTGGTGCCAAATTACTTTGCTGCTCAGAAACCGCCAGTTCCACAAGCAGGATCACCATAAAGTAACCACAGAGCAGAGCACTGTGAGCAAGTCTAGGGCTGGAGGAGCTGTGCTTGCATTTGGACTTCAGCTCAAAGCGACAGCTAATACCTGAGTCACATCTTCACTGCTGACTGAACTCCTTCCACTTGGGAGCTGTGACAAGCAGTAGTTTGGGACTGAAATGGGGTTGGGGGTTGGAATAATTTGGGCTATTGCTTTGTCACTGGGACAACCAAGGACAAAGCCCTGAGCTTGATGTGGTAATTCCAAGTCCAGCATTTCCACACTTGCAGTTACAACAACTCACATGAAAAACTAGAGTGTATCTGAAATGATTATAAATTTTTATTTTTAGAAAATTGTTTGTTCTCATGTAAAATACTTTGTTCAGTAATTGCCCAACTCTGATCCTCATTAACAACTCCTGTAATTGAGAACTCCTGTTAGAATTCCTGTTCTAACCGTATATCAGCTGTGAATTTTCTAAAGAAAATATATATTTTAAACACTAATACCTTGGTCAAGTAACTAGTTTTAAGAAAATGTGACTGAACCTCACACTGTGGATTGTTTTGCTCTCTACTTCCTGGGCTAGTTGCCAGCCATCTCTCTACATATTTTCTTTAGTTTCTGGACATTTCTTCACTCTACTTGAATATTAATTGGGCTGAAACTCTTGTCCACTTAACTAACATTAATCTTTTAAACTCAAATATGAAAACATTTTCTTTTCTCTATGGTAAATACATAAAAAGTAATGAGTACTCAAGGAAAAAGAAAGAAAAACAAACATTACATGCAGGTTACTAATAAACAACTGAAGAAGATGAACCAGAAGAAATAAAAGATTTATACTTCAAGTATCATGTGAATTCTATAGAAATATTGCCTGATGTGTCTTTTCAGTGTAATTTAGAGGGGAACTGTTACTAGTGAGCAAGGACAAAAAGCATAAAGCTTCCTGTATTCATCCGTGTATTGAAAGATTTGAAGGAAAGTAATATTGCATGACTGAACAAAAACTAACAAAAGCAAAAGCATTTATAAAAATCCAGAGGAGTTCTCATACTGCAGAAATTTCAGCTTTGTCAATTCACAGTCAAAATTTAGTTAGTAAGAAAATAAATTATTTGTACATTGCTCCTTGTTCTCTAGAACAGATATATTTTAACAGGAAGGACAGCACTTCATCTTATCAAAATTACACCAATGTTATACAAACATGAAAATACCTTCAGAACAGTAAAGGTTTTAGGCTATTTATTTGGTTCAAAACATGACTGACCCCACTTCATGATGCCTTGCTTGCCCACATTAATGCACAGTAACATGCTGCTTGGCTCCCTTCTGGAAGGAGTTAAGTGGTTTCCCTGATGGACAAACTCAATGGTTGTGTTTGCTACCGGGCTTGGGTCAGGGCCAGAGCCAGCACCCAACTCCAGAACAAGCACACCAGGCTGCCACACATCTCCATGCCCCATAGCACGTAATCATCCTTTCCCTTCAGAGCCACGAGTAGTAAAAATATCCTATCTCATTATTTTTGTGACTTTGAAGTGAAAGAGGAAAAAATTAATAATTTTGTCTCTATGCCTCAGAGGCACCACAAGAAGCTCAGAAAAACCCCTCAGATTAAGGTTGTGAAGTGTGCATGCAACAGTCCCATCCAGAGGATTCTACCTTTTTACAAGTGTAGACCTGAGCTGCTCTGAAGTAATTCCCTTGAGGTCAGGTTTTTCTGCTTTTCAGGGTAATCCAAAAAGTCCATGTGAACTTGCCTAGAACACTAGCTACCTTTTTATTTGAGTGATGGGCAATTATTTTTACAATATTCTCTGTGGTTTGTCAGGAAAAAGCCACACAGCTTTACTTTGGATCTGAAATACTGCAATGGCAGGGTTCTTAAGAGACCCCTTCACTGCAACATAGGCAAGCATAACACATCTTTTTATCAGCCATCACATGTATACCTACATCAAACTTAAGCAGCATCTGTAAATACATAGTGCTTTATGTTCAATCTCCATCTGGCAGCACACCTGCACTAGAAATAAACTCTAACAGCTTTGATAGAGTGTGTGATGGATTGCTGTCATCACAGGCTTCAATTTTCTAATAAGTATGGATCAGGTGTATCTGAAGCCATATTTGCAGTCTTGCAAAATGTAAGATTGGGAAGCCAGTACTAAAGGCAGCCTTACCAGGAAATGTAGACAGTGTAATATCAGTTTCAGGTTTCTCAGAGCAAGTTCTACACTCAATAAATCCTCTCACTCAGAATAAATCACCTCATTTAGTACCTTGTTTTCATTAAAATTAGCGATGACAACTCCAACAAAAAGGGTCAGTCCAATCATGCAGCCAAGGAATACAAAAACATGGATGTAGATTCCATGGATCTGAATAGACAAAAATAAGATTAATAGTTAAAAAAACCCCCATAGTTATTTTTGTGGAATTCAAAGAGTCTGATGTGTTTCCTTACCGGCCCAACACGATGAATGATGACATCTCTGACTTCTACCCAGCCTTTTAAGGACAGAACTTCAAAAAGTGCCAGCATTGCATTGCCCACATTATCAAAATTAAAATTCCGAGGATTTGCCCTGAAATGCAGTACACAAATAGGTGTAACCAGCAGTAAAGTTGTTCTATTTGTTACCTTGATTCTTCATAGTTTAACATTAAAATACTTTCCAAAGTTGGGGTGAAAGCCTCTGAAACATATCAAAGCTCCATATCAGGAATAAGAAAACAATAGCAACAGCAATAAATCTGGAAACATAATTTTTCAAATCCCTGTGTGTTTTATTTTGTTACTCAGAATCCGACTCACATCAATAAAGCTTATAACCTGTTCAAGGCTGGGCTGGATGGGTCTTTGAGCAACCTGGTGTAGTGCGAGGTGGCCCTGCTCATGGTGGTGGTGGGGCGGGGCTTGAAACTAAATTAAGATTCTTTCCAACCCAAAACATTCTATGACTGTATGTTGCTGCATTTTAAAGCTTTTGCCAATGAAATAAGAAAAATACATCATTCATGAAAAAAGTTGATGTGATGGCATTGGCCAGATTCTAAAATAAATTTACCTGCAGGAAATAATTCTCTAACCCACATAAAAGATTTAGACTCCATGGTCAGTGAGATTGTTTAGAAAATGCTGTTCCCTATTTCATTATCATGAAGACCTGATAGCATATAGAGGACAACTCATCTTCATGGCTTTCCTATACCATGTGCTCTGATCTTTTTTATCAGTTGAGATTCAAGAGAAAGTTTCCAGCTGAACATTGAAAGTGCTCTCTTTGGGCTAGGTTAACATGTTGCTCTTTCTCTACAATCCAAGCCACATAATCCAAGTAGCCCAATGACTTTTCAATAGTTTATAAGGTAAATAGTTGTATTCCAGAAGAGTTATTAAGTATTTGGTGCTTCTTGAGTCCAACCATTCAGTGAAAAGAGAGTTCTCAGTTGTATAGTTCTTCTTAATGAAGTCCTTATACTGACATCTGGCACTTGAAAATCTGGCCTGACAGCCAAGAGGTGGTATAAATGCCTTTGTGTTAAAACATTTTTCTGCAATAACAAAACATTCCCCAAAGTTTGCAGTTATGCTGATTAAGACAGTTTTTGCTTATTTCTGGACCAAGCTGAACAGGATTGAATTTGCTTACTTGAGGAAGAATTTCTCTGAAGCATAAAGAAACAAAGACTTCTGCAGATGTCAGAGTTTTACTGACTGTTCAAATCACAGCACATTATTTCATTAGTGTAGGGTGGCTCTCAATCTACTACTGCTGGTACATTCTTTATCCACGCACATGGCAAATTAAAATAATTGTGGCTGTTAAGCTGATTCTGCAAAATGCCAACCAAATAAAAACTAAAAACAATCAAAAAGAGTGAGTTTTGCCTGTTCAGGTATTGGGAAATATTAAACTTATTAGAATACTAAAAAAATGCATACATTAGCTTTTAAATAAGTTTTATTGCACTTCTGCACTAGATAGACCACAAGGACGCCCTGCATGGGAAAATGAAAGAAATTGCTGGCTGGCATGGTAGATGGCCATAGAAGAGAAAGGCTGTTTTTAGACATGATATAATAATTTGTTTTTATGGGTAGCTGTAGGCAGGTTGATTTCTATTTCCTTTCCTTCCCATCTTTTCCTATTTATTCTTAGGTTCTGTTATTGCTTTATGGCTCTCAGGTTGCTTTCATAATAATACTAAAGAATAACTAAGTGATGATACTTTTCAAGAAAATAACTCCCACTGTAATAATAACCAAATCTAATATAATTCCTATATAGGTTCAGTACCTAGAGGGTTTTTTCCTTCCTTTCTGGTTTATGAAATGGAGGCTAAGTCTGGAAAATTTCATATATCTGGCTTTTTACCAAATATGCCAGAATTTTTTCTCTTAGTATCACTGGAATTACAATAAAGCCCCTCCATCAGTGATTTAATGTCATCACGTTTGAGCCATTTTTTCTACACCAACAGTTGCATTTTTGAAGCATAGGCCAAAGTGTAGCAACTCACCAGACTCGTGGCACCCAAAATCCAGGCTTTTTCTCTCCAGGTCTTAACTTTAAATTGAGATTTTTGGAAACACTTACATTTATTCTGAAGATGCCATGACAATCCTCCTATAGTGAAATAAACCACAGCCTGAGATTAAACATAAGCCTGTGAGAGATGCCAACATGCCAGCATAAACAGAACATTTGCCATGATGGGAAATCAATATACAAAGAAATGAAGGGTTATTTTAGTCTGTAATTAATAGTTAGTCATGGACCTTTATGCAAATGAAAAATGCATCTTAGTAAGTGTTCCATATACCCCTTTCCTTCAGGACTGACAGTGCTTTTCAATTTGCAAGACTACATAGCCTTTTACATCTGCCCTAAAGACCACTGCTCTCTTTACGTCATGATATTTCTCCAAATGGAGTAAGAAACACAGTAACTTTCTCCATGCAACCCACATGGCATCCCCATTGATGTGGACCTCTAGCAGTCTAACCTGTTTTTCAGCTGTGGACCTAGGAATGCAAAGGTTATTTTCCATTATTAATTCCATGTGCCATCCAGTCCTTTGAAGGTAACATGACATTAATTTAAAAACTTTTTAAAAGACAGTCCTCAGTATTGGCACCTGCTTTAGTTTTTATAGAGAAACCCATCCTTATCCTCATTTGCTGACCTCTTAATCACTTTTCCCTCCATCATCCTGCTTCTGAACAAGAAAGTGCCCAATACCTCTGTTTCTCATATGATAGCTCTGATTGCCCCTCTTGCTTTCCCCAGCAGGCAAAAATGGCACTAGATACCATTATTTTGAAGCAGAAAAGCAGTTCTTACCCTAGAGATGATGTGAGGGTCGTTGCATTTAGCCAGTTTTCCAGCAAACAGCTGTACTCCAAAGCTTGCGAAAACAAGCATTAACGTCAGCAAAAGAATAGAAACCTGCAAAGATGAAGTTTGACTTGTTAAACTCTTCTTCTGCAGACTTGAAAAAGGGGATCAGCTCTCTTGGTGAACTGCGGAGAGGATCATTTTGTGGTATAAACCTGGAGATACGGCTTTGGTGACAGACATTTGTTTCTTTAGGTTCTGGTCCAGTAACCAGGTACTGTGTTATATTAGTCTTATTTTTAACATAGGATCTAAGAATTGCAGATAAGGATAAAAGCTTTTATGCACTCAGTGTACCATCTCACTAAATTCTGTATCCATAAGAATTGCCATTCACTTTTAAGGAACTGTTTGAGTACTTGCATATGTGCTGCTTCTGTTTTGCTGATTCAGGCTAATTAATCTAATTAAGCCATTGTTAGATATTTAATTCCAGGATAGCTCCAATAAAGATAAGCATGAACAAATGAAGATGTAAATATCTATAATAGAATACAGTACTTATGAAATGCCAACTAGCTTTATACTTTTTGTCCTTGCTCTATCACTATCTCCAAATATTTTGTAGCTTAGTGTTTTATAACAACCTGACCTAATAAAGCCTTCTGTTAAGGAATAAGATGCCTGTTCATTAGGCTGACCAATACCACAGACGGTCCCAAGACAATAGATTACGTCTGAGCAAGCAATCACAGACTCCATTGTTGTTCTTATTACTGTAAATGTACAGCTGTGATCATAATAATAACGACATAAAAATGAGATCCAGATCTGTGATGAAAAGCTGTATTGTTTTCAGCTGCCTCTCAAAAAGCCTGAAGGTAGAGACCTGCAGTGCAGAAACCAGGTTTACTTTTGTTCTTGCAGAGTTTTCATACACTACTACTTCTCACATTCCTTGACTAACCAGAACTGTCAAAAAGGGATAGATTTTTTTTCAATAGTCTTCCTATGTAATTATGACTAAAACTATGCTAAACAAATAGTCATTAGTTCCTTATAGTCATAGTCATTAGATTTTTAAAGAATTTTTACAACAGCTTTACTCAGTATGAGTTACTTATATTCTAATTTTTAGCCTCTTGTGTGGTCATCTGCAGTGATACCACAATGAAAAGTAAACAGACAACAATGGTGAAAAGAATAGAAAACATGAATTTTATATCAAAATGTTATCTTATTAATCCTTCATAAATTTTCAGAAGAAAAAAAAAATTGGTACATACCAAAAAAATTTCCTTGAAGCCACTAAACAGCTCTCGCACCACTTTCCTCATCTGAGGGACCAGTTTGAAAATTCGAAGGGGTCGGAGGCAGCGGAGCACCATTAAGAGCTGAGCCCCGGATTTGGCAGGGACGTTCTGAGGCATCCAGCACAGGAATATCAAACTCACCTGGAGGTGACAGGACAGGAAGAGGCAAAGAAGGGTCAGCCTTACAATGTCTTACTTGGCATAGACACAGCACAGAAGGTCAGTGAAGGTCCCTACCTTAAAATTAAAGGAAAGAATAAGGCAAAAGAGCATCTAATTTAAAAAAGGGCTTAGATCTCTTATGTCCTGGCTTATTGTCCTAACTAATGGGCATCAGCTTGTGTTTGTCTCATCCTTTGACTCAAAATCCATTTTATATGCTTAATTAGATGGAATAGTTCCAAAAGGAGAAATCAATTTGGCTGACTCAAAACAGAGACACAAACTATTTTCTTGAAGCAGGCAGCATTATTTCTCTCCTCCTTCTCATTTCAGAGATTCTATGCTGGAACTGAGAAACCCTCACCTGGAAAGTCTGTTAACAGTTTTCCTGACAGTTTATCCTACCATTCTGTTACAGGCATAAGTGGTTTTGTCACCATGTGGTTTCATTACACAAATGCTATGTTTTTGGAAGTGTTTTCAAACAGCATAGTTGTGTTGTGTAACCTGAACCATCTCTGACAAATTGTTCTTGATTTAACGTTTCCCAAGTGCTTCGTATTTTTTAAAAGCCAGTGTTATCATAGGGGGACAGAGGTGAGAGTATTACAAAGAAGTAAGTGCACAAAAACTGGAGGATCAAGATGATATCACCAATTATTTAAAACTTCATATAATTTGTTAGAGTGGAGTAACCACTCCACCGAATTTGTTCCTTCAGACAAGCAGAGGGATTCAGAGAGATTTCAAGAAACTAAAGCACACAGGAATTATGCATACTACAGTAGGAGTTTTGTACAGGTATGCATATTTTTATTTATGCTAACAATAGAATCTTTGATACAAATTGATAGTGACAAATTTTATGCAGCACATCTGCCTGGTGGATTAATCTCTGAAAGATTTAAACTATATCCATCAAAGCCATTTTTCTCAGTAATTTCTTCAGTAAGAAATACTTCATACTGTATTATACTGAGCACTGGTTTTGGAACATTCTATGTGTCATATGTGAAGAGGAAATGGACACCCTACTCTTGTACTTTAATAGAATGCAAAAGATTTCCCAGAAACTCTTGAGAACTGTTGAGAAACTTTTTTTTTCTGAGAACCAATACCGATAGCGATAGGATATGGGTTTCTTTGTTTCCTTCTATAGCAACACCAGCAATAAAGATGTGCCTTCTGTCAAATGGTAAATGGTTTTGAAATACCTACAATAAAGCAGGAATACTCTTGAGAGGGTAAGAAGCTATTAATATCTACGAAACAAATAAAATTAAGATTCCCCTGCATAAAAATGCTGCAATGAGGTCAGAGTTCTCAAGTTTACTCTGAAGGAAAATCAGATCTGATACTTAAAACGTATCAAAAAATAAAGAATTAAAAGGGGCCATACAACAACCCCACACTAAGTTGCCAGGTATTTATCACATCCATGTATCACTATTTGTATCAGGGTATAGAGACAAATTTCTTCACACTACTAACCATTTATATAACCAAATCTATCAGAGTTAAGAATGCCACAAAAACCTTCCATAAATAAAAAACTTACAAGATATATAAATATGTCCATAACTCCTCCAAAGTCCCTAATGACAGCTGTTGGAGTAAAGAACAAGCCATCTGCCATAATCTTCAGATTAAGCTCAATGCTCATGAATATTACAAAAACGTATTCAGCAATCTGAAAACAAAAGCAGAGAACAACTATAATTTAGGAACAGGCAGTGGAGAAAAGCAAGGTGACTATGATTCAGTAATTGTAAAATGATTCAGTGACAGTACCTGGAGTGTTGGAGCATGCATAACTCTTCTAAAAGGGGATTCAAACATCATGGAAATGCAGGAGCATATCGTAACAATGATCATGACCCAGTCCAGGTAAGTAACCAAACCCAGCAAGTCACTGCAAATGATACATAAGGAAATGCCATTACAGAAATGCCCAGAGTTCTGTGTGCTTGCTTTGTTCCTACACTACAGTTAAGTGCTTTCCTAAGAAAAATAAATTGAGTTGAGAAGTGTCAAAGATTTTAGTATTTCAGAAATGCATAGTAAAACTAGAGAAGTAGCATGCAAGTGAAGAAGAAAAGTCTGATTAAACATCCTCTTCCAGTTCATTCTTCTCCCCAGACAACTCCATGGTAAGAAAAAACCTTTCGGGAAATAAAAAAAAAAAAAAAAAAAAAAAAAAGACATGCACATATGCATGCACATTTACACACATCCATGCACATGTGTGCACACACACTTATACTGCAGGCTTATGAGACCAAGCAAAGTTACTTTTCCAGTGCTTACTAAAGCTGATGGTATTTGGTATTTTTCACAGCTCCAGTAACAGGATCTGTTTTAGAACTATAAAAAGAAGAAAAGATACAGTCATTTACATTTTATTTTAGTCAGCATTATAATTATACCATGCATCCATCAACTCCAAGTAATTTCTGTCCAAAATCAAGGCTCCATTTTAGTCTGTCTGTATTTTAAAAGTCTGTATAAGTTTCATTTAATTATATGTAATTTCAGTCATATTATCAACACAGCAAGGATCACTTTAACTTATTGCATACCTGTAATTCCTCTAAGATTCTTTGAACTGACAAGTGTTTTTGGGTCTTGATTTTGTAAACAAGGACTTAATCTTGTAATTTTATTGGGGATAAGGGGGATAACCTGCTACTGAATTTTAGGTATCAAAATGCTCTTTACTTCAAAACTTCTTGGACCATGGGTGGGTGAGGCTCTGAGCAACCTGGCCTAGTGAAAAGTGTCCCTGTCCAAGGCAGTGGGGCTGGAACTAGATGGTCCTTAAGGCCCCTTGCAACTGAAACCACTCTATGATTCTGTGATCATATGATATCCTCAGTTAACACACACACACACACACACACACACACACAGACACACACACACACACACACACACACACACAATGGCTCCACCTGCCATTAGGCAGTCAAAGAGTGAGAACCACTCTATAAGTAATATGCACATATCTAGGTGACATGAGTTAAGTTCCTGCTGCAGCAATTATTTATCAATTTCCTACAAAGCAGAATGACTGCTGTGGGAGAAGCTACAAGAATACTTTCCAGGAAGCCTCCCCTGACCCACTGGTTATAGGCACTTTTGCTTATCTTCCAGCTCCCGTAGGAAATCATGCCAAGACAGGATCTGCACTGACATATCCTATATTTCATTGGAGGGCTCTAGCCATTGGGATGTGAAATTGCCACTACTTCTTTGCTGAGCTTAAAGTGAAAAATGGACTGAACAGACTTGAGGAATTACCACCAGAGAGATTTCATGGTTATGAATTACAGGAATGCACCAGAATCCAAGGAGAATGAGAAACATCTTCCATGGCCAGGTTCACCCTTACACCAGTAAGCAGAGAGAACATACTGAATCAGGTGCCTTCCCACTGAAGCCACTGATTTTTGCTTCTTATACTCATACATCTCCCTGCATCGTACATAGCAGCATTCCTCAGCCTTTTTTTTATTAGAAGAAAATATATATCCTATCAGTTTGAAAAAGATATCTAGAATATCTCACTTGATAAGCTAGATGGGACAACAAATAAAGCAGGGAGAATTTAAGTAAATGGAAAAAAAAAAGAATAGGGTTCAAGAAAATCAGTTTATTCTTATAATTGCAAACATTTTATTTAAACTGTTTTAATATAACTATCCTGTTACCATTGGGCACTGAGCAATGCTAAGAGGCACTGACAAATACTTGCTAAGTGGATTTGATTGACTGTGTTTTTGTTTTTTCTGTTTTAATTTGCAACTGCTTCATGGACCAGTGCACCACAATCAAGTTAGCAGTTGCATAGAAAAGTGGGGATGTAGCTCAAGGACATGTCTTTACTAAGGTGGCAGAAACTTGAATATAGGTATGGTTAAAACTGAGTATCTAACCATCCTGTCATGCCAACTATAAGTAATTTGTTGAAGGGTACAGAGAAAATCAATGGTAAAGCAGCTGCTGAAACCAGTTCTTCTAAGTGCCAAACTCATGGCCTTGAGCTATCTTTTGTCTTAACACTGCTCTATGCAAGGTGACTTGCATTAACCCTTTAAAATCCTGGTGCCAGCAAGAGACAGAGGTTTAAAAGAAGAGTTGTGAGATGATTTTAAACAAAGCTGCTCCTACATGGATTTCTATCTGCCACACTCACATATACCTATAGCTTAGTTGCTGAGTCTTCCCAGTTTTCATTTGGGTTCAGCTTTTCTCCTTTTATCTCCCACAGCTGAACACCTCACCAGCCCATTCTGAGTCCCTTTTTATGGTGAGCAGAGGTGCAATTAATTCCTCTTCACCTTTTTCTGTTTTATGAGTAACTGCTGGTGTATAAAAACTTCTTGCCTTATGATGAGGAATAAGAAGAGAATAGCAAGCTGATTCCCAGATGTCTAAAAGTGGAAAATATTTCCTCTTTTCTCTCTTTGAGCATTTCCTCTCAGCTCACACCTACAGTTTCCCCACATTCTTGTCCATCTCAGCATCACGGACTGCTCCAACATGTCTGCCCTAACAGCATTTTATTTCTTCCTTTCATCCAGCAGCAAGACTACACCACAGACACTGGCTGCCAGCTTGTGTGGTGACCACACTATATGCAGTTTTCCTTGGAAAAGGAAAGTTAGAGCTTGGCTGAGGACATGGAGGTAAGCACCTGTGGAACCAACGCTGCTATGAAATGAACTTACGCATTAAAGCGAGCCCGTACCACCACTCGGCAGAAGTTCCTGAATCTGTGCTCACGGCCAACTATGAAAAGGGGTTTATCAAAATACGGGTGATTCTCTCGCAGCTCCTCCTCCTGGACTTTCCTTTTGAAAGAAAATAATTTATTAAGTGTTACACATTATCCCTGGCAAAAATATCCCTTTCACTTTGTTCTTTTTTTTCATGTTGACTCTTAATACTTTTAACTTCATACAGGGAATAGTTAATACAGAAAATGTACACTCAGACTTTTAATTTTTAAATACCTTTTCATTTCCGCTTGTTCCTTTTTCTCTTGGATCATCTTTATCTCACTGTCTTCTCTCTGTGCATTTCTGTATCTCACTGTGTTGGAGTGCTAGAAGCAAAATTATTCCTTTTAATTGAGGTCTAAGGTTGTTATTCTTTAATGTTTCAGATGAAATCAAGGTATAGTATTTTAAATAGAAATATACAAATAAAAGATCTTTATTTCCAAATGTACTGCACATCAACTCAGTCAAGCATACTGCACAGTGTTTTCTATCTACAGCAAAGGCTCCTTATTTTCATCAAGGTTAATTTCAATTCTAATTTCATGCTTGAGGCTCTATCCAATCTAACTTTTAACTTTAAAAACAGAAGTCCTGTAAGACCAGCCAACCTCTCTGAACTGGAATGAATACAATCAAAGTTACTAAGGGCAAAGACTAAGGGAAATAAAAGGCTTTAGACACCCTTTCAGCTTCTCAAGCCTGCTGCATGGCTGTCAGGCTGCAAGGCATGCAGATCATACAGGTAGTAACTGCTGAGTGCAGGGACGAAGGAGGGAGGGAGAAAGGGAGGAAAGGAGGGAGGGAAGGAGGGAGGCAGGATGCTGTCTGAGCTCATGCAGTGGAGGGAACAAGCAGCATGACCATTCTGAGTTATGTGAGTCTTTGAAGCACTCCTGGTGGGGTAATGCTGGGGTTATCCTTACTGTTAGCTACAAGAAAAGCCACATCTGCTTTAGTTACCTTTATAGACTGAGATAGTTTTGAAATGGGTGACTAATATCGTATCTTGAAATTTCACTGCCACAGAGATCCACATAATATCATATGAATTTGTAGAAATGAAAATGCACTTAACTGCATGAAATTACACCACAGTGAAATCCATGATTACTACTCTCACTTTCAGTCTTTGTCCCTTTGTCTGACAGCTGCTGCTTGGAAAATATTGCTAAACTTCCATCAGAAATTTTGAACTGCTCTTTTTCCAGCCAGAGTGATTTGTATAATTCCAGAGTAACTCTTTTTAAGGTGTACTGGGTAGCATTGCTGTGTTCCTAATGCAGCGTCTACAGATTCAGTGAATCTATCTCAGCAAGTGTTCCAAAACCATAAGTCTATCAGTGGATAATTATTTTGAGGATAATTCTAATGCAGTTACAGCATTTGTCTTACAACTTCCTTTCAAGATTTGAAAAGACAAATTGCTAGCAAGTTCATAAATAGAATTAGTCTTACACAAGCATTTATTTGATAGTATATATTCTAATTTCTTATGTTCTCAAATTTAAACCAGCATTTCTATGAGGACTTACATCTTGAGTCAATGTTTCAAGAGATTTTCCTCTGCTGATTCGCTGGCTGTTTGAACCATGTCTCAGTGACCTGAAACAATCATAATCAATTTAACAATACATCTCAAGATGCAGTTTTGACCTTTATGAGGTGACCATTATAAAGCACTTCTCTCCAGCCAAACAATATCTCGAATGCTTATCATTTTTCTCTTGCTAACATCAGAAGCTTACATGTTCTTCAATTGTTTTCAATGTCATCAAACATAAGCCAATTTCTGTCCTTCTGATCTTTAAATTGATAGCTTTGTAGTTGGCAAAGGAAATGACATTTGAAATAAAAAGGCATTTTTTCATTTATACAGTACAATGAATTTCATTATGATTACAATGAAGAATGTAGAATTCAGTTCTTTGTACAAGTACACAGTTTTGGCTTTTCACGTGTTAGGGATTGCTCAAATTTAATTCCCTTTGCCACCTTTATTTTAAGAATATTTTAAAACCATCCTTCCTGTCCATTTTTACCTGCGTTCTTGTCGTATGTGATGCTGGACACTAAGTATTGACCTTTCCTTTGCTGGCTGCCCCTCAAATGATCCGCTCAGCATGCGCTGTCTAGTGCAGGCCCTACAAAGAAATGTAAAGATGATGACACAGTTTTCCGTATAAATGATCATTTCAGAGGTAGCACATTCAGAGAAATCAGCCTGGCTTTGTGGGGAGCAAGTACTTCAAGAACAATAGAGAATAACAATACAAGAGCAATGGACTTTCCATGAAAATATTTCCCAAGCAATGGACCTCCCCTCTGCAATACAACCTGTCGTCCGATGAACCTTCTCCACGCCTTAGCAAGAACCTTCTATGACTTTTTTTCAGCTTGCTGTAGAATTTTTGGTCCCTCAAGACTTCACGAAGAGTGAAAGGCGTCAAGCAATGCACTAACCACCAGTAAAACCAGTTTCTCAGCAAAAAAGAAGAAAATAAAAAAGTATAACAGCAATTTTAGTCCCTTTCAGGGCTTGACATACACACTTAGAATCTAAAACATAACTTGGAGTGTTCAAAATAACTGGAACCATAACCAGTATGAAATGAAAAGCTGCACATTGCTGATATTCTGTAATATGAAATATCTGTTCTCTGGGAATGCAGTCAATTTGTAGTATTTTGTTGGGTGGGTTTTCTCACTTGTTTGCTCATGGTTCATTTTGTTTTTTGCTTAATTTTGGCAAACACATTTTACACATTTTGGCAAAAATTAGTATTTGTTGGCCAGTAAGTGTGCCACAGCTAAACAGAGCATGCGTATCTTTATCTTGATGGCGACGGTGAAATTATTTGCTTATGAAAAAGAGAGGTTTCTACTAAAACAGCTCAGACAGATCAATCTGATGGCTGAGAAAGGGAATTTCAACATTGGTAACATGTTTTAACTTTCCAGAATGGTTAAATTTAAAGTTTACAGTATGCACTCCTTATTGCTCATTTTGTGTTATGAGATCATTTAGAGAAACACAAGACCCAGACGGTAATATTCCATACTTTTAATTGAACTGAATCCTCTTTTTTTCTGAAAAGATGAAAAAATGATACACCCTTTGTGTAACCACTCTATCTGACAGTCTGTAAGGCTTAGATAAATGCTTTGACAGCATGGGATGATCATGCTTGATGGCAAAAGTTGTCCATGACATGTTCTTTCCCCACCATGGCTTTGTTTTTCACTCTTCTCCACTTTTTCTCCTTCTTTTAGATTTAAACACATAAGTGATATCTGGAATAAAAATAAGAAGCTTAGAATGCTTGTCAGTGCCACCACTGCCAATCAGATTAGCATGCTAGAAAAATACATTTTGTGTCACTTGTTACAGAAAGCATTAGGTTATACTACACTGAACTAAAGCATCATGACATACAAGAAAATTACTGCATGTCTTATAAAACATAGCTCATCTTAGACAAATCATGACTATTTTAATACCAAAGGATTTAATGCAATATATTGTGGAGGATGACACCATATAACACTGTTGGAAAACAACTGAGATAGTTGAATACCTTTGTAATTTTTGATTGAATAAAAGGGAAAAAAGTTTATTTCCTAAAAATACATCCTATCTCACTCCATTAAAATGACAATCCAGTTTTTCCCGGAAGAGACCATGAAAAGTTCTGGGGTCTGAGTTCTGTATAGAGGCTTCTTGGAGAGACAGAGAGGCTAACTTATCTCTGTTTTCCCCTCTAGATATAAATTATTGTGCTTTGCTTCTAATAGCTAAAAATTATTTTCTTGACATCAAAATGTAACTTGTACATCAACTTTTCATGCCTTTTTTATGTAGCAAATTGAATTCCAAGTCACATACACGCTTAGTATTCATAATAAAAGACAGCTTTAAATGCTCAAGCTATAAATTCTTTACCTGAATAATGAACAAGATGGCTTATTTGGTTGTTAATAATATTGTAAAATAGACATAGCCATATACTATGTGGGCATACTATGGCAGAATGGGCATGCATAAAAAGTAACACCTGCAGAAAGACTTTGTATTGTTCATGATCTCCAAGTTGGATTTCTAAATCTGTATTTAGCCTTTACATCCACTGCCTCATTTTCAATACCTCTGGAAGACCTTTAGCTCTTGTGAAGTCAAGAGATAAATAATGAAATACCAGTTGTTTAACACAGAGATCAGAAATTTTTATCACGTAATTGCAAAGAAACATTTATGCATCTCCAGAGAAGAAGATCTGCTGAAAATCCTTGTCTACTTTGGACAGCCTCTCTCCTGGCATTTTTCACGTAATGGGAATTATTGCCTTGGGAATTAATCTTCCTTGTATGAACTCTTAGTAAGACCCATGCTTATCCTTTTGACTCAGAATCTGGATATTTGTCAGCTGCTTAGACACCAAGAGTTGCAGATCTTTGGGGACTTTTTAAAAAGATGGCAGGTGCCATGAATTTTTCAGAATTGCAGAGTTGCCAGTTTTAAAGTCTGCAATAGGGTTTGTGTTCTCACTGTAGACACGTACATGTATCTGCTTCCTCTCAGTGTCTGCCTGTGAGCCACATGTCCAGACTTTTAGCCAACTCATAGCCAATGGAGATGCAGGACCCAGTTAAATTTGCTGTACAGAGGCGGCCAGAATCACTTGCCATGCCTTGGAGTATTTTGCTTTGCTTCCAGCTGCTGCTACAGCAGGGTACAGTACCCCTAAAAATTGGTGTACTACTTGCTATCTTACAGAAGATGTTTTGGACATCCTCTGGCATCTCACACATTACTATATATGTCCATATGTGAAGAACTTCATTGAATGCTTGGTCAATTAATTTAATTAATGATGTTTGGAAGGTATTAAAGTAACCATAAAGTGGGCATCTAAAGACAAAGCACTGTGGCAATGTGCCACAGTGTCAAAGATTCAGCCCTGTATGGTTTGAAAATTGGAGTTTTAAAAAACCATTTTTCTTCCCTTGATACATTTTTATGTAACTGTAGCTGGTTAGAACCTTTTGACCTTTCTTCAAACAACAGAGGCAAAATTACCCTTTTTATCTAAAATTGCCATTTTCATCTTCCTATACCACCTTTCTGAAATATTAGATAGGTTTAATTTCACTTGTGGAGGAAGACGGAAGGTATAAAACAAAGAAGAAGAGACAAGAAATATCTCAAGCTTCTGGACTTTGTACTCACCTTGCAGAACTCTGAACATAGTTCAGCAGCTGCAAACCACATGCTCCAAATTTGCCTTAAAAAGTGGAAATGTAATAAAATGCCCCAAAAGAGAAAATGCAATTCCTTAGGTAACCAGAAAGCCAGATGAAGATCACACAGAACAAGACAATACTAGGATACCATGCAGCTTGTACCACCTAGTTTGTCTAGTTTGTATTACCTGCAACCAATTAGAGGTCCACAGTTTTGAAGTTCTTAAAACTATTTCATGCTTTAGAATTCCTGAAAAACAAGCCATGAACAGAGTGCTCAAGTAGTATTCTTTGACCAAATGTAAAATGTTAAAGGTTTTGATCAATAATTCAAAATACTATACCTTTCATGAATATTCTGAGGTCTCTTGCAGAGGGTAAGCATGTGGCTCACATTTGGATTTTTTAGTCAGGCATTCTTTCTGCAACAAGTGCTCACTCATCTTGCATTCCAATATAACAGTGTTTTGGTTTTTTTTTTCTGTATTTTAATGTGTGAGTATTTATGTAGTAATTCAGTGCAGTTACCAGCATAATTCAGCACTCTGTTTTCACTCTCTAGGACTCTATCCTTACTAAATCTTTGTATGCTCACATTATAATTCCACAGAACTTGGAATATATGGTTAACTGTAGCAGCCTAAGATTCCTGGGGAATCCACCTGAGAGGTATTGTAGTGTTTCTTTCTTTCATTTATAAATTTAATTTAATAAGGCACTTTTTGAACAGCCAGCACAATGCACATTTTCATCACATCTACTCTACTGTTCTTTGTGAGAAAAATATACTATTTTCTAAGAAATTTGAATCTGGCTGGTGAAAAAGAATGGATTATTGATGCAACTTGGATAAATCAGGTGATTTTCTTTTCCATGTTTTTTCTTGTTTCCTTCCTTATGTCTCTAAAGCAAAAAATCAAATAGTCACTTATTTTCTTTAGTGACCACTCAGGCAGGAGCTATGGTAGGAGACTTTCATTCCTTTAGCAATTTTTATTGTGATTATCATTCTTGCCTTGTTGTTTCAGCTTCTCTTCTCACAGATGCTTATATAATAACAATTTTTATTGGACTGTAGAAGAATCAATAAAAGCAATGCAGAAGAAACCTCAAGTGGCTACCATCTCTCTCAAAATGGATCAATTCCATACCTTCAGTGTTGGAGATCCCAACTGCTTCACAACTGTGCTTTGCAGTAATCTGTAACATGATGTTCATTTGGCACAAGCCCCATGAAACAGAGTAACTTCTTTCCAATGGATATGTGCATTCCAGTATTTCTTTTGGTTTGTATTTGCATCAGGCAGGTGAAATTCCACGATGTTGTATACTTGTAGAGATTTAAGAAGGTGGTGACTAAGTCTGGATTTTGCATAGATGACAAAAATCATCAATGTAACTTACCTGGAACATTTGTTTTGAGAAATGCATGGGGTCAAAACCTCAAAGTTACGAAGAAAAAAAATCATACTCTTAAGAGGAAAAACAAAATATATGTCAAGAAATTTGTTGCAAGTCAGGACCAACTAATACAAGTCACTTATTTAAAAAGGCAAATTTTTAATAAGGGTACCAAAGGTATATCTTCTAGGATTATAGAATCATAGAATCATTTACATTGGAAAAGATCTTTGCTCATTCTCTGTATTAATATTCAGGGAGATTTTATTTAGAGATAAACTTTATAGCTTTCCTAGAAATCCATGTATTTTGCAGAAATACTTGTATGAACAAAGTCTGAATTATCTTCTAGCATATTAACAGACTAGAATAGGATACTTAATTCTTTCTCCCCTTTCTCCATTCCCCATGTGCCTCCCTCCCCCAGAATTCTCTGTTAAAGATAAATGCACTTCCAGGAGGTTGTTTATGAAATGGAATGTTCCACTTAAGCATGAGTTATATTACTCCCTCAGAACCAGGGAACAAATCTTGTCTAGAACAGTGAAAATCTTATCACACACCCCTACCATCAATTGACTATAGCATCAGCTGTAATGAAAAGCAAATAAAACACTGCCTATTTGAAAAAAAAAAAAAAAAAAAAAAAAAAGGTTTCCAAACAGTCACAATATTTATTTTTTATATATGTTGCAGAGTCTCCTTCCCTGGAGATATTCAAAAGGTGTCTGGGTGTGGCTCTGGGCAACTTGCTCTGGGTGGTCCTGCTTGAGCAGGAAGGTTGGACCAGATGCCTTCCAATCTCACCCATTCTCTAATTCTGTGAAGCATGGTTTAATGCACACCAGAATCAGGTTTTGCACTATTGACATTTTGATTATGTTTTATACTATGTGAGATTACTTTTAATTTGCTCATTTTCCCCACCATTCTGGACTGTTTACAACTTATCCTCAGTACTGCAGAGAATGTACTGATTTATGTGTGTGTACATTTTGACTGGACCTGCTCTGCTCTCTCTACTTCAGAAAGCAAGTGGGACTAATAAAGGACTAGATCCCATTCCTAGATAATGATAGAGCAAGAAATGAGGGTCAGGAGAACTACAGGTACAAAACTTGCTTTTAAGAGGAAAAGCAGTGCTTGCATCAACACAGAGTGAGAGAAAAGTGTGAAGCACTGAAGATATGCAGGAGAAAGTTAATTTGCTTGAAGTGGTTATTGCTGCTGAGGGAAATGCACTGTAATTTTCAGAAAGGAATGGAGCTGTTTGAAATTCAGAGGCACTATTAAAATGAATCTTGTTTTGAAAAAGTTGTTCTAAAGGTCTCTAACTTGTACTTTATTTCATTTTTCAAGGTTGAAGTCCCCACCTCAGAATGGATTTATGTGAAGAGTTAAGGCCTTTGTGGTCTGCCGCTGGCAATGGTGATGCAAAGCACTGATCAGAATAAAAGTACCAGGATAGTAGTTTCTACATCCTTAACTTGGTTCCCATGTCTAATTGTGCAAAGACCTCAAGGAGGCAAGGTGAAGATTGGCTTCTAAACAAGGATGCTCAGAAATGAGACGCCTCCCTGGAGGTGCGGCAAAAAAGCTGCAGGAAAACAAAGATACCCAAGACATCAGATTTCCTGCATAATGTAACAGCAGATGAGCAGGTGAGACACCTAGGACTGAGTGCATGAACCATCTCTCTTGGTGGTCAAGGGCTACTGATGTCTTTCTTCCTCATCTTGGGAAATAAGATGTAAAGCTGCAGCTCAGCATATAAAAGGGGACAAATTTGGATAGAGAAAGATGCACAAGAGAGACATGGAAGTACCTATGTGCAATACATGGTCCTCCTATAGTTGGTTATACCGAAACATTCACGATTTGATTAAAAAATAATTTGGCAAGGTTTAAAAACTAGGCGGGGGGGGAAGGTCAGAGGTGGACTTACAATTCCCTTTCAGCACAGCAATTTTATCAAGTTGAAGTTGCCCACGGGCAGCTTTACTATGTAGAGGTATTGCTTTGGAAAAGTGCTTCTTAATTGAGGTAGACAAAAATGAAGATTTTGCTGGAAGCAATCGTTTCAGAAGGGATATTCTGAGTTATCTCTTATTGTACTTGGCATAAATGCCATTTCTTCTTTTGTCAGATACTTTGAATAGCTGAGAGTCATCCAATTTTATGGAGGAGTTTACAGCATTTACAACTAAAGCAAAAATAAGAAGTAGAATCTCTCATGTGTTGAGAGTTTGAATTTTCCTGTGTTATTTCAACTGAATCTTAAGTTTCAGCTGTAAGTCTTATCACTTCTTTTCCTGTTTGTTAAATTCCCTTGTATCAACAGTGCTGTCACTGTCATTAACATGGAAACACTGGCAGTGCTCAGGACCAGTCAGCCCATCACTGGCAATCTCTATCAGTTTGCCTACCAGATATGCCATGAACACAATCTTCCCATGCTGGAACAGATGTATTGCAAGTGTCATTAAATCAGAGCTTAATCAATAATTTTGAGTTAATAACAAGGAGCAATAAACAGTATTTGTTCTTTTTCTCAGGAGAGAGAAGACTCTTTGTAAGACTCTTTGTAAATTACTTACAAGCAGCCCTAGAAAGCATTAGAGGACATGTAATCTGTGTTTTTCTTACTTGACAGAAGTTCCCTCCTTTTCTCTGTGCTCCTCAAAGTTTATTGCTGATGATGCAGGAAATAGATTGGAAAACTCAGTAAATGTAGATTAAATTATCAGAGTAAATAGATAATTAAAATTAAAATAGTAAATTAGTAAATGAAAACTTTATTCTTCTGCCTCTGAAACTTCAGAGGAATTCAGGTGAATTGATAAGATGTTTTTTTACATACAAGACTTTGGCAGAAGCCATGATCTGAAGGACTAAGTGGAATTCAGCAGGATTGAAACTGGCAGGACTGCTTTCTGGTTCTGTCCTTGTATCTCTGAGAACTTAGTAAGTCTAAACAATGGTTTGCTTGGATTCTCCTCCCGCTATTTCAGTCTTCTCCTGAAAATGAGGAAGTTCCATGCTGATGGGAAAATTCTGAATTTCAATTTCCAGAATTTATTTTTTTTCTCCTATCTAAGAAAGAATGGGTGATATCAGGGATTAAGAAAATAAATTGAATATATAAAAGTAGGGATCTTTCTTTTGTCTATGTTTTTCCTCTGCAGTACAGTGTATGAAATACATCAAACAAACTGACATTTCTGGAACTCTGGAGGTGTCAATAACATTTCACAATTCTCATATAATAACATAGAATTTCATTACAAATGTTTTACTGAAACACTGCCAGGATGCCTGTATCTAAACCTGTATTTTTAGAAGTATTTGCTAATCTATCTGTAACATTAATTCCTGTAAAATCAAGGCACACAAGTGAAAGAAATGCTTACAAATAGGGCACTAAATTTTGTTAAGATCAAATACTTATGGTATTGCATTTAAATTTATCAATAATATTTTTACAATGAGTATTCATCTGAATTAGTAATTGTTTATGTTGTCATTATATGGGTTTAAAGACAGAAAAAAATTCAAGTTAAGTTCTACAGTTCTTCTGTGCTGTGTTCTTATAGAGCATTAAACAGAACCAGAGCTGCAAAACTTCTCAAAAAACTTCATAATTCAGAAATCACACAGAACCCCTAGTTCTCTGCTCCTCATAAGACATTGCCTTACTTAATCTGTACTTTTTAGATTGGGATTCCTGTTAATACCGTGTATTTACCTGGGACCTCTCACTGACAAAATGCACTAATAAATGTAAAAACTGGACCTATAAATTATTCTTATTATTAATACACCTTGTGTTGAGAATAGTCACTCTAATGTAAAACCAACATGAAAAACTGCAGCATGGAGTTACCTAAATGATAACTTCAGAAATGGGTCTTGGAGACTTAGGCTTTCATTATTCACTTACAGTGCTGAATAGTTACTTGAAACAGAAGACCAAGAGTGATCATTATTAAAGCATTCAGGAAATCTTTCTACAGAAAGAAGTCATGGTTCTGAAATCTTCTTCACTGTCCATTTGGCACTTGGAATATGACTAGCTGTAGTCCATGCTTTCTAGTGCACAATCCCTGCAGATATTTGCAAAAAACAGACTAGAATTCTTTAGGCAAAATAACACCCCTTAGGAACACACCATGGTTCATTTAGAAGGAAGAATTGAAAAGAGCTGAAACATGATTTTACTGCATGATACAATTGAAATATACACTGAAGAAATACAATCTCTGTCTTTTTGCTGTTCAAGCATATAAAATAGCCAAAGAGCAATTTATCTTTGCTAATGAAGGCAATAGATGTACTACAAAGGGATACCCTATTCTGAATATTATACATCCAGTAACATTAGTAATAAACAAGGTTGTGCAAAATCAGGTGACAGTCAAAACATCATCAAATCACATCTGACTCTTACCTTAGAATTTTATTGATTGCTGTCTCTTTTTCCAGAAGGTTTCTTGCTCTGATGCTGAAAACAGATTTACGGAGCTATAAAAATAATAAAAAGACAGCATAATTTTTAATTGTCTTAAAATATAACTTGTATATGTAACAGACCAATTAAATGTTATGATGCTGAGTGCATAAAAAGGATGGTGGAAAACAATCAAAATGCTTATGCACATGTTTTTGCCTTCTAATCCCAATCGTTAGGTAGTTCTGTGTAGAAAGAAGTAGATAATTTTGCTGACTAGCATAAATTTGCTTTATTACACATTTCTGCTCCAATTGGCCAAATCACACTGTTTTGCTACTCCTTCTCCACTTTGGATCATACTCTGGACATGCCTTGCTTGTATAAAAGAGCCAGCAAACAAAGTTCAGATGTATAATTTCAATTACATTTTTTTTTTCCCCACAGATGCAGAGAAAAAATGAGTTGAGCAAAAAATGCTTTTGTTTGCCTCTGGTCATGAACACTGTTTCAGGAATCTTCTTGTGAACAGGAGTTCCTGAATGGGAAATGAAAGACTGAGATACATGAAAAAACAAGCAAGTGATTAACAAACATGGCAAATCCAAGGAGCAAACCACAGCTGAAGAATTTAGCTCAGGAATTGCACCTGTGATGAGCAGAAAGCCTCTGGCACATTGTAAGACATAAATCTGTCAACTGTTTGGAGATCATTATCTTGAAGAAAATAGTTGAGAGAGATTTGGAAACTCTTAGCAATCTGTGTCCTGGTTTTGATCAATCTGAAATGGAATCTTTAAGCACATTTCTTTAGATGTTCTTCAAATTTTCTAAAACACTAGATCAAATCCAGTCATTTGACAAATAATTTTGCCAGAACTTCTCTGAAGACTGATATTGACTGAGTCACAGCAGATCTTACTTTGTAGATAAACAGAAGCTTAGAAAATTCCTTAAAAACTTGTTGATTACACTGGCTGTACTTAATAAATTGGATTATGCTTTTTAAAGCACAACTGTTACAGCAAGCTACAATCTCGTTCCTACCCCTTGCATTTACAAGTGTGGCCCCTTTAAGCTTTCTCATGTCTCGTCTCTTCTCTGTACAACCTGTAGAAGTAATAACTCAGATGATTTGAAAACACCCCTACTTTGAGAATCTGTGGGCTCCTTAACCAGCAACCAGAAAACGGAAATGAGGTATGCAACATTTCAGAATGTAGTTTGGAAAATAAGGTATTTGGAATTTCAGTTAAGATTATAGAAAGAGTAATAAACTTGCTGAATATTTGAATATAAACAAGAAAAATTTCCATTGCCTGGATATGGTAAACATAAAAATAAACTGAAAATCCTAGTATGAGATATACCTGTTGTGGAATATATCCAGTGCAGGCAGCTGGGTGTGCAGCTGCAGTGTGAGCTGCAGGTTAAGCTCTGGGGCAAGAGGCCATGATCTGATGACCCTTTGCTTAACAAAGGCCACAAAGACACGGCAGGAGCTGATGACCCCAGACTTTGCTTGTTTAGACTGTGAGGGTATAAATGTCTAGGGTGCCTTTGCTTATGGGTCTTTCCTTCAAGGCACCCAGCTCAAGCTGCTATTTTGTTATTCAGTTGTTGTACCAAGACTAAATAATTTTAAGGAGCTGGATGTCTGGCACTCTGCTTTGGGAAACGTGGGGTTGAGCTGCTGAGGACACCTGATGTGACTGTGTGAGTTTGGGGTGTGTAGCTGGGAAGGGGACTTGGCACCAGCTCAGGTGAGGCAAGAGTGACTGCTAAAGGGGCTCCTGGATGGTCAGACAGGCAATTAATATACCACTACAATAAATATTCTCTAGGTATAAATATGTCATATATTGAAACACATTTGTGTAGGTTTTAACTCATTTGCAGTATCTTGACACAGGTTTGGTGAATTTATCAGCATTGTACTTTATTAGTGTTCAAACTTATGGGAATAATGAGGGTGGAAAACCAGAAGTTTGATCTTAGTTCTTTTTTCCTGTTATAAATAACCACTTTAGAATAATTGCAACTACATGAAACATTAGAGGAAAAAAGCGTGCTACCTAGTAATGTGTTTTGTCCATTTATTTCTAGTAACAATTCCTGTTAACATCTTAGAAATTGAAAATATTTTAAATACAGGAAGTATTAATTTCCTACCATTTGTCTATTTTTTGCCTATCTGATTTCAGTAAAAAAATCTGAGTCATATACATTTTTCCTGAAATTTTCTACAGCTCCTTATCTGTCATAGACCACTTCTTTCCAGTGTTTAAATTAGGTGACAGAACACCTTGGCCTTAAAGGTTGTGGCCCAAACAAGGAAATTCACCCAGGTCATCAACAAGGGAACATGCCCTGGGAAAGCAGGAATGAGGAGTCTATATATTTCTAAAGACTCCAAAAGGATGTTGAGCAGTCACTTAGTGCTTCCACAAGCCAAATTTTAAACTACCTAGTTTAAAGCAAGAAGAAGAATGTTTGAAGAAATGCTGGCAGGTCTAGGACAAGGACCACTTACCAGGGACTGCTGAACCTCGATCTAGGCAGCAAGACTAACAAAGCAGACAGTGGTGTATGCTCTGCATAAAACTACTTCTAAATCCCTATGCCACCCCAGCTGGAAATGGTTTGGCCCCCTGTGCTTGATGCCTTCAATGAACACTGTAGCTGTGGTGCTGGTGATATGCAAGAGCAGTGCTGTACTATGATATTTGGCTGTCACACAGCCAGAGGTGCATCAGCCAGAGAGGTGAAGAGAAGCTGTAGGAAGGAGTGCATGTCTGAAGTCACTGAGATGGGAGAGAAAAGACTGGGCTTTGTTCGCATTTTCAAAGCTGTTAATGAATTTTATTTAGTGATGCTTGACCAAATATATAACAGAATTACAGACTCATGGAACGTGCTGAGTTGGAAGGAACCCAAAGGATCATGAAGTGCAACTCCTGGCCCTGCACAGCACACCCCAAGAGTCACACCATGTGCCTGAGAGCATTGTCCTAACACTTCTTGAGCTCTGTCAGGCTGGTGCTGTGGCTACTTCCCTGGGGAGCCTGTTCCAGAGCCCAACCACCCTCTGGGTGAAAAACCTTTTCCTAATATCCAACCTAAACCTCTCCTGACACAACTTAAGGCCATTCCCTCTGATTCTGTCACCGGTCACCACAGAGAAGAGATCAGTGCCTGCCTCTCCTCTTCCTCACATGAGGAAGTGGTAGACTTTGATAAGGTTTCCTCTCACTCTTCTCCAGGCAGAAGAGTGGCCCCAAATACTCCTCATATGGCTTCCCTTCCATGCCTAAGAAGTCACAGGAATGGAGAAAGGTATGAGAACAGGGAGTTGCATCATATTATTTGTGCAGAGTGCATTTACTTTTCCTTCACATTTTTTCACGACTGGCTGTGAAACTTGCAGATGAGACAGGACATCCTTGGGCCTAAGCACACCCAATGGAGTGCAGCTTAGGTGAAGTTTTGAAGGTCTTTTAACAATCACATCTGTGTCTGGACTGTGATGGAATTTAGACTGGAGTCAGGTATCCATTCTTTAATCTAGGAATACATAGGCATATACAAGATCCTAGAGTTTGGTGCCTAGAGGTCTCAGTGGTCCAAAATAGAATTCACAAAACAACCTAGGCACTTCCAAGGATTATGACTTTTGAAGACAATTGTCCTCCTTTCTCTTTCTGAAGAAATCAGGAGCCATTACTTCAGCAGAACACTGGTGAATTTATCTTGAGTTAAAAATATGCAGAAGAAGCAATACAAGAAAACTTTTAGATAAGCACAATTGATCGATTTCTCATATTCAAAGGAGTCAGTAGCCAGTCAAATAGCAACACACATATGTCAATATGCATGCTGAAGAAAATCAAACATTACTATAGATTTTTGAAATATGCATCTTTATTTCTATATTAGATAAATGAACTAAACTACTTCCCATTAATTTTCCAAATTTGCATAGCACACCAGGCAAATGCAATGGGACTGTACAAACAGAAAATGGGGCTGATGATCAGTATTTTGTTTAATAATGTCTAGATGCTTCATGCTGTTGTAGAATGAGGCTGGCAATTAAAACTTGTGATACCTGCCGAGTTCTGGAATGTTGCAGAGGAAATTATAAACAGTGTTAACATACAAAAGACATTATTCAATCAGACAATGTGAAATTAATTAAGTACAGTACACTCTGCTGAGGCTATTTTAGGGTGTATCTATCTAGCCTGCTGGGTTTTTTTATTACAGATTGTGCTGCACTGTGAGGACACCCTCAGTGTATCTTTATTAGCCTTTATTTATTTATTTACTTATCTCTACCACCTATAAGTACACTTCATGCAGAAAATACAGTGCAATATAGCTTTCTGCTAAAGCACATTATTTTTTAGCATATGACACTGTCTTGAAATTACCTAGCAGCATCTGATTACTCTAAAATATGTTTTCAGCAACACACTTTAAAGAACTCTTGCACTTTAAACTGCAAGGACCTGCTGTGGCAGGTCACCAAATTCCCAATGCTATTTCCTGAATGAAAAGGTTTTAGATGGGTATAATGTGCTGCTGCTAAACCATGAATAAAGCTTGTGTCTTGGTTCTTATATTTCTTTGAGCTTATTTACACAGACATGACCACAGAATTACAAAATCTGCAGGTAGTGCTTCTCTTCCACAAGTGTTGACACCCTTTGCTGCTGTTGGCAGGACAGACTTTAGGCAGACAAAATAATTCAGTTCAGTCAGAGTGAACTTGGTCTAAATGCTACATCCCATGAAATCCCATTTGTCGACAAGGACAAAGCAACCATTGTAAAATAAGCTAAATCACTGAACATTGTTGCTCTGCAAGTGCCACCCGCTGCTTTGAAAAGGTACTGCAGACACTTTCAGTAACTATTTAGTAGTGTATTTCAAAAATCCAGGCTTTCTACCCCGGAAGATTAAAATACTTGGCATAAGATCAAAAGCAAAGCAACACAAGAAAATACCTTTGTGAAGTGTCAGGAAATGACTGTGGACCAGTTTTACATACTAGATGTACTGGCACAGCAGT